ACAAAACACTTAAAATTATCATGAACTGTTTTAGTTGATTTTCAGAAACACCTATGTTCTATCTTTTATTTGAGCAGATCTCTCAATATTTTACAAATCATAATCATGGAATCACTTCACTCACCTTCACTGTGCAGCTACCTTTAAGGTAATAGTTTTTCAACATACCACAAAACACCACCTTGACACGTTATTCTCTCTTCAAATCTTTAAGGGGATTTATTATTGTAGTAATAGCAATCACAACAGCTAGCCATTTTATTATGCTCTCACTTTGACCTACAGATAGACCAGAGTCATGATGCAGCAATATTATCATGATAACTTTCTAAGCACCAAAAGCGTTAACCCAAAAAAACTATTGGTCATCAAATCAGTCACATCTTATATTTACTCTTTCTCCTCCACTTTCCCAACCATGAGGATAAGTAACCTATTACAGTTTAAGGCAATTTTTGTGATGATTGTCCTCCTATGTTAGCCAAAAGAAGTCTCAAGTTACACCACCAATGTTCTTCACCCTCCTAGAAATCTTCCCTATGGAACAATTCTTTTCTTAGCCATGACAGACATTTAACTGCTCTAGCATCATCTCTAATGCTTTAGATTTTAAGAGAAAATATGATGATATAAAACATCTGGGACAAGAAACATAAATCTTCAAAGCTTCATATCTCCAGATTCACTAATACACTCTGCATCTTGTATTTTGCCTGTCTTTCCCTTATCATACTTATAATCATGTCTTCATTTGAACTGTTATTTGTGTAATGTCTGCTGCCTGCTCCAAGTGAGCTATAAGTTCCATGAGGGCAGTGACTCTGTCCACCTAATCTGGAGATATATTCCCCACACAAAGCATGGTACCTGACATAAGTTTAGTGTATATATTTCTTCTGATGTCCTGGGGACTAAGCATATGGGTATAATCTTTAAAATATTTGTTTTAAGGAAAAAAATGAATGATTGAAAATGAATATACATCTGAGATCTGAGCCCAGAGTGTTTGTTATATTGCTATTTTAATTATGTTTCATGTACTTAGAACCAATACTATTTCCTTGGCCAAATGCAAGCATGGTGTTAAAAAATTTTAATACAGACTGGAAAGTTGAAAGTATTTCATTCAAACAGCAATTGGTTAGGTATTATTTTATTACATTTTTCTGACATTAATATCCTTGAGGACTGTCAAGCATGTTCATCTGACCAATTGTTCCCTCTTCAACTACCTCTGCCTACTGAAAGTTATTTTCCAATGCTCAGGCAACAAGCATAGACAGGGTTTTCTCATTGGAAGTGTCTGAGGCACCTCAGCAATCTTACTAGTGTATATGTTTGCTGAGCTGAGGAAGTGCCTGTATATGAAACTGCTTCCAAGAGATGTCTGCAAAGGTGCATGTGGTTTGTGGCAACTGAGGTTGCAGCTTGGAATAGCAGGAAGAAGCCTTGCTCTGTAAGTTCCTGTTTCAACATCTTTCACTATATTCTTGGAGAAATCTAAACTATGATGCGCTGAGGGGAACTTCAGATGGGAGGTTTTTACTAATAAATAACTCACTGTTTTGTCTAAAAATGGCCCTTTAATAACTTTTGTTTAAATTTTATATTTATTTATTGTTATCTATTTTCTAGGCTAAAATAGACAGTCAAGTGAGGAATGGACTTGGGTTACCTTTGGTTCCCGTGACAAGAATCTGTTCCTTTTTACTTGATGAGATGAATATTTATAAAAATCTTCAACAAGTTGTATTCATTTCTCACCCCTGGATAATTATGAAGGAACTGGGTTTTTTCATTAATTTTTTATTTACACTCTTATGGACATGCAGGTATGACCAAGACAACCCATTTCATTCATTCATTCATTCATTCATTTTTATGATCTATCTGTCTGGGGATTTGTTAGGAACTGCCCTGCCTGGTATCAGAAGCTGTAACCCCACCGCCACCCCACCAAGGCTAAGGCTGAGGGAGTGGCCTTGGACCATAAGCCAGCAAGGAGACAAAAGCTTATCTCCCTGGCAGGAGCGCTGCTTCTGCTGCTTCATTCATAACTGAATCCCAGTGCTTGGTCGGTTAGCCAATGATGGGTAAGATTCCCCAAGGGGGGAACAATCTAAGACAGGCACGATCACGTGGGAGGCCCCCAAGGAAGGACTTTGGGGGCTACAGCAAAAGGGGGTGATAGACCCTTGCTCCTCGGCTTTCACATAGCCTGAGTCCTCATTGTCTGGGAGAAAATCTCCTTATACCTTGGCTGCCTTAGTTCCCTTGCTCCACCTAAGCCTGAAACAATGACAGGGTGGTGCAGCTCTGTGCTGAAAAGGGCGGATTCCCCAGGTGATCAGGCCTAAGAAAGAATATGTAAAATCCTGTGAAACCTGCTTTGTTTAGAATGCTCTCAGTTGAATGATAAGGGTCCAAGGAAGAAGTAAGTTTGTTCTTTTAAGTTTTACAGCTCTTTGACCCTGACTCAAAATAGGCCCTCAGACTTCCTTGTTATCTATTGTTTGATCCTTACTTCCTAGCAATGAGTAATGAGCTTTTACCTGAATTCTTATTCAAACAAAACCAATAAAAAGCCTCTCCAAAGGGGGAAGGAGGAGCTCCCCACATGAGGAATGGCCATGGCCCCCTCCAGGAGAGAGGGTGACAAAGGGGCTCCCCACGTGTGGAGTGGCCTTTCTGTTCCTATTCCCCCATAGGACCTGGTTGTCTCTGTGTATGTTTTTAGCATGTTTCAATGAGCATCCGCAGCCGAGATGGATACTGCTGACCAGTACCCTCCACAGTAATTGTGTGTTCCAATACCATCTAGGTTACCAGAAACAGCCTTACTGTTGCTGCTGAAAATGGGTTCTTTTGTGGTGTCGTGAAAAGGGCAGGCACATGGAAAAGACTAAATATAGTGGTAAGATTTTGAGGGGGTGAAGGAAAATAATAGATCCTTGGAGATGTAGAGGGCAAGCAGGGTCCAGCAGTCAGTGCCTCAAGAATCCTGATAAACCTCCGTATGTTTTCTTGGTTCTCTGTAAAGAGAAAGCTGTCATCTAATCCACTTCTGATTTTCCCTGGCCCAGTTGGGGCCCTCTCCCTAGCCAATCCCTTTCCTTGACCCACTGAGGTTTGCACCTCCTCTCCACTCTAATTGTTTTCTCAGGCTAAGTTCTCTTTCTTTGTGTCACCATCTTAACTTCTATGGCTCATGTCCAGAATTTGTGCTGCATCATCTGGTACATGTGCTTACATTGCCTTGGTTCATTTTTTCACTTGTACTGGGCATCTGTCCAGCAGAAAAATCTCCCAACTCTTCTCCCCCAAATGCTGACAGCTGGCCATCAATGCCCCAGGGATATTTCCCTACCAGCTCTGAGGATTAATTCTGGAAGTCAGAGATCTCCTGGAGTGTGTGAATGGGTCTGTTAATGCTATAGGTTCCTAGTAAATCAGCCTTAGTAAAATGCTGTGACTTCCTAATGAAGCAGTTCCAGTATCTCATTTAGTTTCCCCAGTTTATTAAGCTTCATATTTGATTCAGCTCCTTAGTTTATTATGCTCAATGTTGAATTACCTTTGCACCCTTTCATATTCATAACTAGCTAACTAAATATGCTAACATATCTATCTGTTCATTTACCTAGTTATTTTAATTCCTACATCTTTGAATAAAGAGCTGACAATAAAATTTCAAAAGACAAGGGGATTCTATCAAGTCCTGAATGCTGGGAAGATCCATTGCAGAAATAAGGCCTTTGCTATCTCATTGGAGGAAAAGAACTGGCTTATCCCTTTGTTCCTGAAAACTTTCACCTCACTGCAAAAGTTAGGCTGACCAAGGGTGGGAAGGGGGAATAATTATCTATACCATTGTTAAGAAATCCAGTAATTGTACTTCTTATACTTATTGTATTACTGTAAATAATGACTCTTTAAAGCAGGGCAAACAGAGTCTGAAGCGAAATTCTATTATAATGAAATATATTTACTACAGAAAAGTGAAAAAATTAGACTAGATGGTTTTACAGAAATATTCATTTTTTGATTAGCTAAAACTTAAAGCAAGTTTTATTTTTTACAAGTTATTTTATTTCTTAAAGCAAGGATAATAATATTGAAAGAAAACTAATATGTCTACTTAAAATGATTTGTTTCAATCATACTGAGAGGCCAACTAAAAACTGTCTAAGAATAGACAGTATACCTGATCACTATTTATGTGCTAGAAATGATGGAAGTAATTGAAAGCATTCTGTTGTTTAATTTTCACAATAATAAATCAAGTAAAATTTTTTTTACAACTGAGAAACTGAGTCTTCTAGAATTTCCTCTACTTGATTAGGGGTAATGTGTAGTAACACTAGAAGTATAATAATAAATTCACCATCACATACAAAAAACCATACGGATCTACCATGGGCAGAGCTGGAGTAGTCTTGACAGTAACAGAGATAGATGTGGAATCTGAAACATGAAACTTTGATAAAAAAAAAAAGAAAAAAACACCCACCCTGGCTGGCATAGCTCAGTGGATTGAGCTCAAGTTGTGAAACAAAGCTTCGCAGGTTCAATTCCCAGTCAGGGCACATGCCTGGGTTGCAGACCACAGCCCCCAGCAACCACACATTGATGTTTCCCTCTCTCTCTCTCTCTCTCTTTCTCCCTCCCTTCCCTCTCTAAAAATAAATAAATAAATAAAAATCTTAAAAAAAAACACCCTTTGTCCATGTAGGCACAAACCTGTTTCATGAGATACTGACACAGCTTATATTTTTAATAATTAGTAGAAAATGTTTAAGTTGAGACATTTATATATTTTATACTTAATGGCATTTTTCATCTCACAATGATCCTACCTATGGTGTGATTTCTGTACTGGGAATGTTTTAAGAAAGTAAAATCAGCATTCAAGTATCTTATTCAAGGTTCACTGTGTGTATTTGGAGAGACTGGACTTGAACTCAGACACTGTAGACACAAAACTCCACTCTTAGTACATGTTATTTCTAAAAATTCTCCTTTATTCCTTGATGGATAAGGGACACACCCCTGAGTACTCATTCTGTAGTGAATGACTCCTATACAAGGCCTTTAGTCATATACAAAATTCTTGAAAAGTTATCATTCATCTTGCCATTCAGTAGCAGAGGAAATGAGATTGTAAATATTGGTAGAGATGTCACCTCTATAACTGCATTTTTATGAGGCAATAGTCATTTTCTTTGGGAGTATAGAAAAAAAGGATGAATTAAGATTCTCTATTAATGTAAACAAGATTTTGGAGAAATGTGACCCAAGGCAAATTGTACACCCTCATGATGAATGAATGATGGGTGACCAACAGGGAAAACAAGGAGGGGCAGCAAGGAAAAGATGAGAGAATGGTGCAGATAAGCTCAGTTCACTAGATGTATCCAAGGCCAGTGGTACTACATAGAGGTGGTTGAGGGTGTGATTTAAGAACTTGGAGAACATAGTATCATGGGGCCAGCACATTTCATAAGATTGAAATATAAATAAATTTTCTGAGAAAAAGAACATGAAGAAAATTTATAGATGAGAAACCCATGGTTCATTTTGTTTAAAAATGAGACAGTGCCAGCATCACAATGTAGGAAAACCCCAACACTACATGGAGGAACAGTCAGGGAAAGGGTTAATTTCAAGGGATCAGAGGAGGAAGATTACACAGAAGCATTATGTTTAAATTGGTTCTCTAATCCTATAACCCAGAAGCTATGTTTAGGTTGATATCTAGAGTAAACATGTTGACAATTGCTACCATGTCTAACAAAACTCTTCATGTTTGAGTCAGGGGATTTTTTTACCACATAACCCCAAGACCTAGGCATGTACCTCTGACACATCTACCTCCCAGTAATGTTTCCCTGGTGTAATAAACGGTGAGCCCAGGACACCAAATTGATCATAAGCATTATTATACCCTTTATAAATTAATCTAGAAGAGGGATTTCTTATTTGTCTTTGATCCACAGAGACAACAACTTTTGATTCATCTTTGGGAGGATCCAGAGTCACGTGAACTGTAGAAAAGTTACAGGGTATAGAAAAACTTTGATGTGCCTTTATTTATGGTATTGTAAGGGAGATCTTTAAAGTAATGTGAGTGGGAACTGGAAAGGTACAAAACTGAAGAAATATATGTGTTTTGGGGAAAAAAATATGGATCTTAAGACACAAGACCCAGCCCGAGTCGGTAGCTCAGCTAGAGCATTGTCCTAATATGCCAAGGTTTCAGGTTCATCTCCTGTCAGTACACATACAAGAGGCAACCAAAGAATGCATAAATAAGTTGAACAACAAGTTAATATTTCTGTCTCTATTGCTGTCCCTATCTCTGTCTCTCTGTTTCTCTTTATCTCTGTCTCTCTCTCTCTAAAAAAAAAAAAAAAATTTAAAAATTGAAAAAGAAACCCACATATAACCAGGTAGAAAATATAAAGTTTTATAAAAAGATGAGGTCATGGTGACTTCATGAGGCTGTGATATCTCTTTACCCCAATGGCGATGCACTTATGGCAGTTCTGAAATGATAAAAATCCATACCAGTAAATATAAGCAAAGGAGTCAGCACTACAATATATTTACTCTACAGAACATGGGAAAGACTGGGGAAATATACAAGATAGTAAACAGAAAAATGAGAGGTGAACAAGACAGCTGGTCACTCCCCATTAACTATGGCTACATCATCACCACATGATATCCATTCTCCTTTGCCACCTCTATCCACACCTAGAAACTGAACCCTCCTCCCTCTTTAACTCCCACCATCACCAGACACCCTCAGCCACCCACCATCCCTGGCATGCCTCACCATTAAATGCTTGCAGCATCTCACTCAGGTCAGGAGCTTGGAACACACTCCTTTGTTCCTTGGAGACAGTTTTTGGCTTCTTCAGAGTAAAGGTCTTACTCCTAGGGATGACAAAATAATATCCTCACACCTCTGACTTTTTGGCTCTCCAAAACCACTCATTTCTGTCTACTCACCCCACTAAGCACTTGAGCCTCCTTCAATGGACCCCTGAGCAAGGAGAGAGCAGACTTCCAACCTTGGAGCCAAAGGAATACACTCCTGGCTAACTTTACAGTACACAGTGTGTGTCCTTAGGCAGGCCTTGACCTCGCAGAAGCACAGTTAATTCCTTTCAAAATGAAAACTAACCTCCACTTCTCTTACCACTAGGAATCATATAAAATTACATGGCTTTTTTTTTTAAATGGAAACTTTGGTTCCTTAAAACAAAACAATGTGAGGAAAACTCACCAAATGGATGTGGAGAGATATTACATGACAGAGAGGTGGCAGAACCTGGCTCCTAGTAATTTGACAGATACCACTACCCAGTGAGGGACTACTGTCTGGAGGGGATATGGACTTTAAAGTCTGCTTCCCAGAAGGGAGACTCTCAGAATAAAATCTGAGATTTTTGTTTCTCTAGGGACAACATAACACCTGGAAAAGAAGACATTATATATACCATACTAATTGTGGTTGGCAGTTTTTATGTTTGAACAGCTTGTTGTAGCCAGGTAGGCATTCAAATGTAGATATAATGATGCTGCTCTTTCATTCTGCTTTTGAAAGTGCATGGTCGAGAGGGATCAGTTGTTTGCACCAGGCCAAAATATTCTTTGCTATTCACATCTGTTTTTTGAAGAAGAAAAAAAGAGAGAACTCTATGGAAGGGACCAGGATTCTTCTACCCACAAGGGATAACTTTAAATATAAAAGAGTGTTCTCCAATTCTGGGTGCTTGGCAGGTAAAGAAGACACAACCTATGCCCAATAGATAAAATCACTAAGAAATAAAGGGAACCTGAATTCAATACAGGCATTCTGGGTGACTAAATTATGAAGTCACAGGTGTCTGATACTGCAACATCTCAACCCTAAAAGCTGCTGACCCAAACTCAGCACCTCCCCCAACCTAAATTCCCCACTACACAAACTGGTCCATTAGAAGTAGTTAGAGAACACTCAAACCATGAAATGTGGACAGGAATTTAAGATAAAACCAAACCAGAATTTTCTTGCCCTGAGCAATATTGTATTCTAATTAACCACTAGATAACATTAATAGCCTTAAACCTCTTTTCACAGCACCAAAGGACCATCTCTGTTCTCCCACACATACCTTTTCATGATGCCATTCACATCCTAGGGAGAAAAGAGAAAAAAATGGGTCAAGTGGTAATAAGCCTCCTCATTTACAAAGTTTCATCACATCCCACCACTCCCTGATATGGGGGGAACAGAGATGGTCTCAAAGTGACACCCAAGAAGTACAGAGAAGACTCAGGTCAATCATTCAAGAAGACTCATGTGAAGTTTTGAGGATTCCTAAAAGGTAAAGCAAACTTTCACGTTGTGCAACCACAGCATGAGGCTTCCACTATCAGGACATGAGGCATATTTAAGAGGAAAACATGAGGCCCATGACATATTACCCATGTTCATAAGGCTCTCATGAGATGATTTGAATAAGTCATGGCTCATTAACTCATTCAACATGAATGTAAAGTGAGGTACTATTACTTGTCAAGGATTATACCAGGTAACCAAAGATGACTAGTTGTAGTATTCCTCAAGAAGTTTACATGAGTTCTGCTGAGGGTACAAACAAATGAATGTATTAATGTAGACTTTTCTCAAGTCTCTCCTCATTTGATACACTGTCTTTCAAGTGCCCATATTAAAGCATCACTGTGTTGTTCATATAATAATAGAAAGCAATTTTGGAAGCAAGTATCCATATTTTACTGGGATTAGTTTAATATTCATCTGAAGTAGACCGTGATAAAATAGGATGCATATTGTGTTCCAAGGAGCAACTACAACAGAAATAGAAACTACTATGCTTAATATTTTATATTGAAAATATCTGTTTAATTCAAAAGAAGCTTGTTGATGTGAAATAGAACAATGAAAATTGCAGGCAACTTATTGAAACAAATATACAAATATACCCCAACAAATATACCCCAATTACAATATAAATTAAATAGAGCTACATGAGAATTTCAATAGATGTTATTATCTTAATTAACCAAATAAAGGCAGAAATTCTTGGACTAGATGAAAAACAATTTCGTTATTGCTAGTGACATGAGACATAGTTTGCATTCAAAGACACAAGTAGGGCAAAAATAATTGATAGAATTCTGGTCAAAATGTTGGTGTATGTAGATACTGTGATTGTATCCTCCCACAACCAAATGAAAATTGTAAATAAATTACTGAATAATCACCCTTGAGAAGCACTTGAAGATGAGCAGAACAGAAGTTCTACAATTAAAGATATAAAGAAGTCACCTCAATACTGGTAGGAGGGCCTGAGACAAAACCATCTGCTACCACACCCTCCTGTGCAAGTTAAGAATTAGTAGGAATATCTTGGATACAGAGGTACCTCCTGATAGATGTGAAGTCCCAGCCCCACATCTAGCTTCCCAGCCAGGAGTGCCAGTGCTGGGAAGAGGAGTCCCCACAATATCTGGCTGTCAAATCCAGCATGGACTCAGTCCAGGTGAGATGGAGGGCTACTGAAAAACCTGGCATCTCCTTAAAGGCCCCTAGCATAGGGTCACTCCCTCACAACACTTGCCCTAAGCTCCAGAGAAGAGACAGAAACTTGAAAAGTGCCAGAGACATATGAGGAGTAACTGAATTGTCTGGCTTCAAGTGGAGGACTGGTGGGGCAACACTTCTAAGGACTAGAGTGATGACAGGCTCCATCTTTTTCTTCTGGAGCCCTTCTGTACACAACCACCAGACATAGGCAAGGACCAAATCTGAGTCTCCATTAACCAGGCTAACACCACTCTTGCCCAATCTGGGTGATTCTCAGAGATGCTACTGTACCCAGTTCAAGCCTCTGACCAAATTTCTTTCAGAGGATAATCCACACAAGCAGCTGGCCTGTCAGCCCATGCTGCAAATTTTCTTAAAATCTCTCAAGTTCCACAAACCCCAAACAAGCAGTGGCTGACCTAGTGTGAACTTTCCCTCTTGCTAAGTGGTCTCAGGGTAGCAGTTATGTCATCTCATCCTAGTGAACTGCATAGCATCTCCAACACATCTCCAAACACAGCACAGGCAACTACCCAACCACAGATCACTTCGTTGCTCCTAATAGGTGGTGCTGAGAGAAAGGAAGTGGCTGAACTTGGCTTACACCAGAGCCCCTCCCAAGAGGACCCAGAACCGATACACCTGGTGGCCAGTTTCAGAACTTACCAGAGTGCCACTCAATTAGGGCCACAATTGACATGCCCAAAGGATAGACACAGTAGGCACCTGATCCCCACTATTGTTAATCACACTCCACGGAGTCAACTTCTTCACTGGAGCCAATGTATTACTCACTGCCACTCAGCCTGAGGGTCACTCCTAGCCTCAGATGTGCTGAAAGTAATTAAGGCGCAACTATAGCAAGAGAACACATACAGCCCACACTAGGGACACGCACAGAGCCCAGTGCTCATGTGAGCAAAAAAAAAAACAGCAAAGGCTACTACTACATAAGGCACTCTGCCAAGACTAGAAGACATGGCAAATGTACATAACACACAGAAATAAACATAGGGAGGCAGCCAAAATGAGAAGACAATGATACAGTCCCAAATCAAAGATCAGGATAAAACCTCAGAAAATAGAAGTATTTGATTTGGAAGTTCTTACAGGAAAAAGAGATGGAAGCAAGAATACATTTTTTTTTATTATTTTATGTTCAACACATTCCAAATTAAACAAAATGGAGGCAAGGATCCATACACCCAATGCAGAATTCTAAACAGTGTTTATAAGAAGGCTCACTGAACTTAGGGAAAGAATAGATGATCTCAATGAGAACTTCAACAAAGAAACAGGAAACATAATGAAACAGATAGCATAAAAATAACTAAGTGAGGAATGAAGAATGCAGAGAGATAATCTTAAAGGGGGCAAGGGAAAACCAGTTGTTTACCTGTAAGATTCCTATAAGACTATCAGCTGATTTCTCAACAGAAACTTTGCATGCCAGAAAGGATTGGCATTAGTCAAGTGATGAAAAGCAAAGACCTACAACCTAGATTACTCTATCCAACAAAGCTATCATTTAGCATTGAAAGAGACCAGAAGAGCACTGTGGAACTTCTGGCAAGATGGAGGCATAGGTGGACGCACCGTACCTCCACGTACAACTAAGATTAGAACAACAACAATTGAGAGGTAGAATAACACCCAGAACTGATAGAGAATTTATCTGAATGGATGTCGGACAGCCAAGAAGTTGAAGTAGACCCATTCATCCAGACCGGTAGGAGGGGCAAAGATGAGCAGCAGCCGAGCGCGGGTTGTGAGAGTGGAGAACAGGGAGAACTGGGCGCATAGGCTACCGGGAGCGTGTAAGCCACCCGGGGTATGCAAGATCGCAGCGGGTGGCGCACAAGATTGCAGCGTGTGGGTCCTCAGTATGCAAGCGGCAACTGTCGGACCCAGTAAGGCTGCAATTGTGAACCCGAGCAGAGCATGCAACCCAGGATCCCAGGGAAGGGACTGAGATCCCAGGAGAACGGAGCTACCGCCATTGTTCCCTCCCGCCCCTGCCCCCACATACAACATCACAATCTAGCGACTGAGGTGCCCAGCCCCGATGAACACCTAAGGCTCTGCCCCTCACTGTAACAGGAGCAACCAGACCAAAAAAAAAAAAAAGAGAGAGAGACATGTCTCAAACAGAAAACAGATGCCCGAGGGCTCAATGCCCCAGGGCTCATCCTTTTGAGTGACCAAGAGATTGCCAATCTATCAGATGCACAGTTCAAAACACTGATGATCAGGAAGCTCACAGAACTGGTTGATTTTGGGCACAAATTACATGAAAAAATGCAGGTTACCATAAAAGAGATGAAGGAAGATGCACGGAGAACCAATAGGGATGGGAAGGAAACTGGGACTCAAAACAATAGAGTGGACCAGAAGGAAGAAAAACAACCAAACAGGAAAGAATGGAGAAATAAGAATTCAAAAAAATGAGGAGAAGGTTAGGAACCTCTAGCACATCTTTAAACATTCCAACATCTGAATTATAGGGGTACCAGAAGGGGAAGAGGAAAAGCAACAGATTGAGCACGCATTTGAACAAATAATAAAGGAGAACTTCCCCATTCTGACAAAGGAAATAGACTTCCAGGAAATCCAGGAAGCTCAGAGAGCCCCAAAAAAGTTGGACTCAAAAAAAACACACCACGGCACATCATAATTACATTAGCCAAGGTAAAAACGAAGGAGAGAATCCTAGAAGCAGCAAGAGATAAGCAGACAGTAACCTACAAAGGAGTTCCCATCAGACTGTCAGCAGATTTCTCAAAAGAGACTTTACAGGCAAGAAGGGGCTGGAAAAGAGTATTCCAAGTCATGAAAGACAAGGACCTATATCCCAGATTACTCTATCCAGCAAAGCTTTCATTTAGAATGGAAGGGAAGATAAAGTGCTTCTCAGATAAGGTCAAGTTAAAGGAGTTCATCATCACCAAGTCCTTATTTTATGAAATGTTAAAGGGACTTATCTAAGAAAGGAAGATAAAGAAAAAACATGTATAGTAAAAGGACAGCAAACTCACAATTATTAACAACCACACCTAAAGCAAAACCAAAAGAAACTAAGCAAACAAGTAGAACAGGAACAGAACCACAGAAATGGAGATCACATGGAGGGTTAGCAACAGGGGAGTGGGAGGAGGAGAGAGGGGGAAAAGGTACAGAGAATAAGTAGCACAGATTATAGGTAGAAAATAGATAGGGGGAGGGTAAGAATAGTATGGGAAATTTAGAAGCTGAAGAACTTATAAGTATGACACATGGACATGACTAAAGGGGGGGAAGTGGGTGGGAGAGAGTGTACAGGGTGGAGGGGAGTGAAGGGGGTAAAATGGGACAACTGTAATAGCATAATCAATAAAATATATTAAAAAAAAAGAATTGAAAGAGACCAAAAGAGATTTCCAGATAAGAAATAGATGACACGTTAAAGGGACTTAAGGAGAAGAAAAGAAATTATAGTGGCATCTATAGACCCTTTCACACAATGAATGCACAATATGCATTTTTTCAAATTTATATAAAAATTTTGTATGTACAACATTTTAGATTATAAAGGAAGTGTCAATATATTTAAAAATTGAAATAATAAAAGTTATGCTTTTTGATTAGAAAGGAATTAAATGTAAAATATTCAGAAGAAGAAGTATAAAATCACCCAGTGTTTTTAATTAAACTATAGTTTCAAAGATACCAAGAGTTTAAGAATAAGAAAAAAAATCACAAAAGAAATTTGAAAATAAGTTAATTGAATCCAAATGATAAGTAAATAATCAAGAAGTATAGAATATAGCAAAAACAGTGTTTTATATCATTAAAATTGATACAGGAAAAATTGTGTCAAATCAGTGGTCTAAATTCTCACCTTAAGAAACTAGAAAAATAACAGCAAATTAAACACAGTACCACATGTGCATACACACACTCAGTTCACATGTGTAAATACAGGAACATAAAGGAAACAGAATAATAAAGAACAGAAGTCAATGACAGAGGAACTTTAAAAATAAATAAATAAAATAATAAAGTTTATTTTTGAAAAGCATCAGTAAAATTAACCAAACTGACCCTCCCAGAAAAGCAAATCACTTTATAAGAAATAAAAGAGAGGATATCATTGTGAATACTATAAAAATGAAACAGATTCTAAGGGATTATAATGACTAACTTCATGATTATAAATGACAACTTATAATGGACAAATTTCTACAAAGATGTACATTATCAAAATCTGAGTCAAGAAATGTTAAAAAACTGAATACAGGAAAAAACATATACTTTACTGAATTTATATGTTTGTGAACACAATAAATAAATTTATACATTCAATACTATATATATTTTTCCTGTATTTATATATGTATGTATTCAATATATAAATTTACATACTCAATAAAATAGTGTGTATGTATACATAGATACATATATTTTTAAACTGTTCCAAAAAGGAAGGCCCAGACTTAGATGGTTTCACTGCTGACTTTATTGAATTATTAAGGAATAAATAATACCAATTTTTCATAATTGCTCATTCAAACACAGAGGAAAGAAATCTCAACTCATTCTATGAGGAAGAAACAAAACCAACACTCTTGGGACATGGGGAGGTATCTGAAAAATGTTCTAGGCTAGGTCACAGATACAGGGGCCTATAGAATGTAATGTGAAACGGTGAATCTTCTCTCCACAGTGAGATTTTTGCACTGCAATTGATACATTAATAAAAACAAGATTTTCCTTGTTATTCATGCATTCAATTATTCCTATTACCTCTGAAATAGATGCAGGAAAAGGTTACTGCAAGACCATGAGAACCTCAGTGTCACCACCAGAAACAGTGCAGCCACACAGCACAGCAGGAAACTTAAGTCTTCATTTTCCTCAAGCTCAGATGCTGAGGCTTCTTCCCATCTTACCTGCAGCATCTTCCTCATTGACCCCTCTAACCGATGCTCTAGCTCAGAGATGAGATCTCTCAACACCAGGCTCTGCTGGACCAGCTCATGCTCAGACTGTTCCAGGTCATGGAGAATATCTCCTTCCTCCTTCACCAGCTTTTGCAGCTCCTTTTGCTCCTCAGTGTTCAGAAAGCCTCTCAGTTTTTTAAAATACTCCTGGACACTTTGGCTGTCATTTTGTATCTGATTCTTCAGGAATGAGAAAGAGAGAGGGACTCAGGCTTGATCAGGCAGTGGCTGGGAGCCAGAAAAAGAAGTGTCTGATTAGGAAGTTCTCACATGGAAGGGAGATGAAAGCAAGGGAGCAATTTTCGGGGAGGCTGATTTTTCCTATTATTTTCTCTTCAACACATTCCAAAGTAATGGCCTCAAGTCCACATTATTGAAGCCAACATTGAAGGAAAATAAAATATCTGGGTGTGGCTCAGCTTTCCCACAGCTGTCCAGGACAATCATGCCTTGCTGCATTACTCCTGAACTCAGCCCCCACCCTCAGCCTAACTTTGAGCACTGGGATATAGAGTCCTGTACCATTGGAAATTGTCTTCCCCTGGAAGAGTTCAAGGTTCAAAATAATGACAGCAATGAACACAGAATTCACAAACCATCCTCACCAGATAGTCTCTTTGAGAATCACTAAACTACAAATATCTGTGTTAACTTATGACAAATTCTATTTCAGCCCCACCCCTATCAGGAAAAAAATAAAGAATGCCTAATCTATGATTGGACATATCAACTTTCAGGGAATAGGAGGAAGGGAGCCCCTTGGGACTAAGACTCAAGGATCTGCCCACATTCTTATCTAACTCCCTCGGAGGAGTCTCCTCCTACCTTCCAGGAAATTCTCTCTTCTTTGATGTCAGCTTCCAACTTCTCAGCTTTCTGCTGTTCAGCCCTCAGCCTGTTCAGAGCTGCCTGCAGCTTTTCCTGTGAAGGAGGAATCAAAGCAGAGCCTAGCTATAAGCTTTCTCAGCTTCAGAATGGAGGATAAAGATAGAAAAATCAAACTGACTTCTGAAGATACTAGAGTTTACAGAAAGCAGTTAGAACCTGTGACTTGAAGGAAACCTGATATGGTGAATGTTTTCTCTAAGACTCAAGTGGTAGAATTCCCCATTCCATGTCAGGAGAAGACTGATTCTGTTTGTACTAGAAACCTGATTCTGTAGTATGGTGTAGGAGACCATTCTGTGTGGTGTGGGCCCAGCTCCCACTCAGAGATGCACAGGACCCACACCCACGGATAGGTTCTCCCAGGGGGAATCAGGCTTGCAATGTGCCCAGGCTGCTTTGAGTCTTGCTCTTGCTAAAAAATTCCCTCACCCTGAATTGAGGACATTTATTGCAAAGTAAATTCCTAAAATCCATGCTAAACCTTTCAAGGATGAGTGTAACTGGTTCAACCACTTTTGCCTTTTCATTTGCAAATATCCCTCTTCTAGGATGTGATTAGCAGCATTGGCTCCTTTGTTTTCTGTAAAAGGTAACCACCTTTTACAAACATGTACATAGTAAATGAGGACCATCACATAGTGTGCCAAGAAACCCAATAAAGGCCGGTCACAGCAAGGGCCAAAGCTTTTGCTCCTCTTGAGAGAAAAGCTGTGCTGTCCCTTTTCCTCCACTGGACTCGGAAGTCCGTGTGAATGTCTCATTTCATCCATAATGACTCAGACACTGTGGGCCGGTGTCTGCATCAGTACAGAAAAACTTAGGTATCGATCCACCCAGCTGCCCTCCTACCACTCCTGTCCAAAGGGGCCATAATCAGCTTTCTTTGGGCACCAAACCTCCACCTATTAGCACAAGATATAAAAATATCTACTTCTTCTTTGAGTCTGCTCATAATTTTTTAATTGTGTGGAATGCACATAAATGTCTTTCAGGACTTAGAAGGTGAGCATAGGAAGAAAAGTGATCTCAAGACTCAGGGCTAGTGTGGCAAAGTAACTACAGTCAATACAAAGCAGAGATTTCCCATCAAGTACTATTTTCTGTCCTGTCTCTCCTCCATCCTGTTACCTTGTACTCCTGGGCAACCTCTTCCATGAGGAAAGTGTGGTGACCACGGTGCTCTTGAGACCTCTCACAAAGCCAGCAAATGAACTTCCCATCCTCCTTACAGAAGAGCAGGAGTTTCTCTCCATGGCACTCACAGAGATCTGTCTTTTGCTCCTCTTCTGGACTCAACTTGACATCCCTGAGCGTCTCCACTATGTTGGCCACATGCCGATTAGGCCGCAGGTTCCCAGGCTGGTAGGTGATTCGGCACACAGGGCAGCTGCTCTGGCCTTCTTGACTGACTATGGACTCCTTGTTGTTTGCAGTGATACAGGCTTGGCAGAAGGTGTGCCCACAGTCTAGGCTCAAGGGTTCTGTCAGGAGCTCTAGGCAGATGGGGCAGGTCACCTCCTCCTTTATGTTCACCAGGATTCCTGAAGCCATCGCAGCTGCTCCCCTGCTCCTGTCTGTCCTGATATGAGGCTCCTCTGGCTCACAGATTTCTGCCAGAATTGAAAGGTGAAAGGAGGCAGAGTAAGAAAGGTTAGATTAAATGATGCTAACTGTGTAGAAATCACAGACATAGCAAGAAAACATATTGAAGGACAAAAAAGAAATGGTAAAGAGACAAGGAAAGGAGTTGGTGACCTGGTAAAAAGGATAATTCATAACAATTTTAAATACTTTTAGTTTATCTGACATGACAAATTTCATTCTTATCTGTGCTATGGTTGTTGTTGTCCTTTACTTTTACAAGGATGACCTGAGGCTCTTTCTACCAAGATCTTTCTGTGATCCAAAATCTCATCTACTTATTCTTTCCCATGAAGAAGACACATCCTTGATGATAAAAGCACCAAAACACTTACGTGTCTGGGCTTTTATACCTACTCTTCTCTCCACACATAGTGCTGCCCCTGGTATAAGAAGAAATCACTCTCATCCTTTGGTTAACTCTCTCCTTATGTATTAAGTTATCATAAAGCCCTGCTGTGACTTCCTTATTTACAGTGTAACCATTGCTATCATCCACTATGTGTTTTGAATGACTTCTCTTATCATCATGACACAATATGTAACAATGTATTTGTGTACGTGGCAAGAGAAAAACCTTTATTAGATATGTACATAGACACAGTGAGTAATTACAAAGATTATTTGTCTTCAATACACAGAGCTGAGATGAACCTAATGTATTCAGGGTGCCCCTTCAGAGGTCTGTTCCTACCTTAATGAGTTAATCAAAGGCAAAACAGGTAATTTAGAAGGTTCTGGGAAGTCTTGTGTTGATAAATGGTAAAATGTCATGTTTGCCTGGAAATATACCAAGGACCATTTTAGGAGCCCAAAAGTGTGGATGGTGCTGAGGGAGAGAGTATAAATATACTCATAGGATCACAGAAGTCAAATAACTGCAGAAATAAGAACACAGATGTCCTGTGTTCTGGGAAAGAAGTCTCAAATATTACATAAGACGATTCAACTAATTTTTAATGACTAGAAATTACATGCTAATAACTAAACTAATACCTACAAACAAAACGATGAGTTGAAATAGAGAGTTTAAACCATTCTAACCCTGACACTTAACATTCACCTGGAAAGTACTGTATTTTTTGGACCATAAGACACACCTAGGTTTTAGAGGAAGAAAATAGGAAAAAAAATTTTGAAGCAAAAAATGTGGTAAAATACTTGATAACATAAATAACATAATATTTCACCAATGTAAATGTAAACAGAACTCAGCAGTAGCATTAATAACCATTATTACTGACTTTAAGTTTTAAGTACAGAAACTCCTCTAATCATCAGGGAACCCCAAGAACTCCTTGTCACTACTGTCCACTTTTGTGAAGCTCAGTTCCTCAGAATCACTAGTATCACTGTCATCACTCTGTTCATGGAGGACGTCATCTTCAGAGTCATTAAAGGTATTGCTGATGCCACATTTTTTGAAGGACCTCACAACGGTTTCATCCTTAACTGACTGCCATGAGGTTTTTACCCACTCACAAACTTGGGTAACAGTGGGCCTCTTCATTCATTCAGTTGGTGTCAGATCATGATCTCCAGCAGCCATCCATTTGTTCTACTCTTCTCTCATGAAAACTTGTTGATGGAAACACCCAAAGGCTGCACCTGGCTGGTAAGGCCCCCAGGAATTATGGCTAAATGGGTTTTCTCTTCTTTAAATCTTTTTTTGTGGATTCAGTGATATGTGCCCTAAGCTGGTCAAGCACTAACAGAGCAGCTTTTCTCAGATGCCCTCCAGGACATTTGGACCACACTTTTTCTATCCATAGCTTCATGCTATTTTCATCTATCCATCCTTTGTCATGAACATGAACAATAACTCCTCTTGGGATTGCCTCTTTTGGCATGTTTTTTCTCTTGAAAATCAGCATTGGTGGCAGTTTGGTGTCATCTGCACAGCAGGACAACACAGCTCTGTAATGGGTTTTATCATGCCCTGAGGTTTTGACGGTTATGGTTTTGGCACCTTTCACATCAACAGTCTTGTTGGATGGCACATCAAAGGTTAACGGGACTTCATCCATGTTCCCAATCTGCCTTATTTCAAATTCATTTTTCTTTCTTACATTCAGTAAGAAAGAAAAGATAAATTTGTGAAAAGATACAATCTTGGATTCATATTCTATAGGCATTTTTTGTGCAATCCTAGTTTTGGTGTGCATAGCAAGGCCACATCTCTTCATAAATCTGTGGCACCATGATGGTGATCCAGTGAAGTCCTCAATGACTTTCTCTGCAGCAAGACATTTGGCTTCACATATGATCATTTCTGTAGATACTGAAAAGCCATTGTTCCCATGATGTGTGATCCACTCTTTCATATCCACTTCTAACTGTGGCCATTTTGCAGCATGCCCACAAAAACATTATTTCATTTTGTCTGTTTTTCGCAGTTGATCCTCCTGTTTCCTCCATTCCCGTGTCATTTTTTCAGTTGGAGGTGGCCCAAAGTATTTCTCTCTTGCTCTGTTCCCATGTTCTTTGGCGTACTTCACTACCTTCAGTTTAAAAGGGATTTTATAAAAAATCTTTTTCTGTATTGACATCTTTCCATAATTACAGTAGATTCAGCAGGAGACTATGGTACACTAATGTATCTTTCTACAACAATATGCAGTAATGACAGAACTACCAGCACTGTGTCCTTGATAGTTATGGGGGCACTGTAGCTGAGAACATCAGTGGATGACACACTGTTATGGGGGATCTGCTGCTGGAGGGCCAAAGGTTGTGCAACACTCTTGTATGGGGACAGCAGTTTTGCACAACCTGTGTGGCTCTGCAGCTGTTGCCAAATTACAACTCCCATCATCCCAACTTGTCCAAGCATGATGGGAGTTACAGTTTTGCAACAGTTGTAGGGCCAACTGACATGTGACCCTGCAGTGGAATTTGCCTATGTTAATGTTAATGGGGACACACCAGTGACATGATGGAGGCATGTACGGGCACCGCAGGCTTTCTTCTCCTAACATACCTGCACTGCCTATACCCTCCTCCCTAGCACTATAGTATGCCACAGTGGGGACTCCACTTCTGCCTCCCTCGTTTTGCACTGCCAGGATACCCCCTCTTCCCAGCCCAGGGCCCACAGCATGGCCCCACTCCTGCCACCTCCAGCTTCCTGCAGCGGGGATCCTGCTCCTGCCTCCTGTGACCCCTCTCCACTGCCACCCCACCTTCTGAGTGAGCCAGGTAAGCTACATCAGGACTATAAGATGCACCCCAGTTTTCCTCCCAAATTTGGGTGTTGGGATCTGCCCTGCCTGGTCTCAGGAAGCTGTAACCCCCCGTGGTTAAGGCTAAGTAAGAGACCTCCAAACCAGGAGACACTAAGGAGACAAAAACTTATTTCCCTGGCATGAATGCTGCCTGTTCTATGCCAGCCCCCAATGCTTGATCAGTTAGCCAATGACGGGTAAGATTTCCCACAGGGGGAATCACCTAAGACAGGCATGATCACGTGGAGGCCTCAGGGAAGGACTTGGGGTGCTGTGGACATGAAGGGGTGATAGACATCGGCCCCTGCCCCTTCGGCTTTGTCAAGACCTGAATCCTTGTTCTTAGTTGTGAGAAATCCAAGTCTCCCAGATGCCTTTGTCTCATCTGCCCAATTCAGGCCTGTGGAAATAACAGGGGCAGTGCAGTCCAGACCAGAGTCAGTGGGCCCCCGGGGTAATCAGCCCTGGGACATAGAATATGCAAGATCCTATGAGATCTGCTTGCTGGAGGATGCTCTTGAATTAGAATATGAAGGCACGAGGACTTCCGGCAAGATGGAGGCATAGGTGGATGCACCGTACCTCCTCGCACAACCAAGATTAGAACAACAATAATTTACAGATAGAATAACACTCAGAACTGATAGAAGATTTATCTGAATGGAAGTCGGACAGCCAAGAAGTTGAAGTAGACCCGTACATCCAGACTGGTAGGAGAAGACGAGCTGGGCAGGCACGGGGCTGGTACAGGTCTGTGGCACGCAGAGGTCGGGGAAAATTTGGCGCGAAATCGGCACGACAGCTATTCGGGGCGCAAGAACACAGCGGTGATCCCTGAGTACACAAGCTGTGGCTGGCGGACCCAGTGAGGCAGCAATTGTGGACCAGGGCAGAGCTCGCAGCCCAGGATCCCAGAGAAGAGTCTGAGCCCAGGAGAATGGAACTACCGCCATTGTTCCCTCCTGTCCCCGCTCCCGCCCCCGCCCCTGCCCCCACATATAATGTCACAATCTAGCGACTGGGGTGCCCAGCGCCAGTGAACACCTAAGGCTCCGCCCCCCACCGTAGCAGGAGTGACCAGACAAAAAAAAAAAAAAGAGAGAGAGAGAGATAGCTCAAATAGAAGAACAAATCAGTGCCCCAGAACTCATCCTTTTGAGCAACCAAGAAATAGCCAATCTATCAGTTGCGCAGTTCAAAACACTGATGATCAGGAAGCTCACGGAATTGGTTGATTTTGGGCGCAATTTAGATGAAAGGATGCAGGTTACCATAAAAGAGATGCAGGAAGATACACGGAGGAGAGACAATAGTGAAAGGAAGGAATCTGAGTCTCAAAACAATACAGTGGACCAGAAGGAAGATAGAATCAACCAAGCAGGAAAGCATGATGAAATAAGAATTCAAAAAATCGAGGAAAAGCTTAAGAGCATCCAGGACACCTTTAAACGTTCCAACATCCGAATTATAGGGGTACCAGAATGGGAAAGGAAAAGGCAGCAAATTGAGCACGTATTTGAACAAATAATAAAGGAGAACTCCCCATTCTGGCAAAGGAAATAGACTTCCAGGAGATCCAGGCAGCTCAGAGAGCCCCAAAGAAGTTGGACCCAAGAAGAAACACACCAAGGCACATCATAATTACATTAGCCAAGGTGAAAACAAAGGAGAGAATCCTAGAAGCAGCAAGAGATAAGGGGACAGTCACCTACAAAGGAGTTCCCATCAGACTGTCAGCTGATTTCTCAAAAGAGACTTTACAGGCAAGAAGGGGCTGGAAAGAAATATTCCAAGTCATGAAAGACAAGGACCTACATCCCAGATTGCTCTATCCAGCAAAGCTCTCATTTAGAATGGAAGGGCAGATAAAATGCTTTTCAGATAAGGTCAAGTTAAAGGAGTTCATCATCACCAAGCCCTTATTTTATGAAATGTTAAAGGGACTTATCTAAGAAAAGAAGATAAAGAAAAGACATGTATAGTAAAAGGACAGCAAAGTCACAATTATTAACAACCACACCTAAAGCAAAACCAAAAGAAACTAAGTAAACAACTAGAACAGGAACAGAACCACAGAAATGGAGATCACATGGAGGGTTAGCAGCAGGGGGGTAGGAGGAGGAGAGAGGGGGAAAAGGTATAGAGAATAAGTAGCATAGAATGTAGGTTGAAAATAGATAGGGGGAGGACAAGAATAGTACGGGAAATGTAGAAGCTAAAGAACTGATAAGTATGACACATGAACTAAAGGGGGGAAACATGGGTGAGAGAGGGGGTACAGGGTGGAGGGGAGAGAGGGGGGGAAATGGGACAACTGTAATAGCATAATCAATAAAATATAATAAAAAAAAGAAATGTCCGTAGCTCAGTGGATTGAGCGCGGGCTGCGAACCAGTGTCGCAGGTTTGATTCCCAGTCAGGGTACATGCATGGGTTGCAGGCCATGACCCCCAGCAACCGCACATTCATGTTTCTCTCTCTATATCTCCCTCCCTTCCCTCTCTATAAATACATTTAAAAAAAAGAAATGCTCAATAAATTAAATTAAATTTAAAAAAAAAGAATATGAAGGCACAGGCAGGAAACGTAACTAGCCTTTTAGGCCCTGTAGTCTTTCTAAGTGATAAAACACCAAAATCTAAGCCCAGAATCCCAGCGGGAGATCTGCCAGACCCTTTGAAAACTACCTACTTGTTTTATCTTCCCATTCAGACTGTAATCCACAAACTGTATCTGTATTTTTAAAAGAAGCCTACTCAGGTGGTGACTCGGGGTGCTCTCCATAGAGAGAGTGGCCATTTCCTCCCTATTTCTCCACAGGACTTAGTTGTCCATGTGTATGTTTTTCTCGTGTTTTGACGAGCATCTGCAGCGATGGATACTGCTGGCTGGTATCTGTCTCATTTGGGGAAAAAGTTCACCTTATAATCTGAAAAATATGGTGCCAGTATTTTAAATAACCAGCCAAATATATGTGTGTGTGCATATTTCTCAGATATACATATGTTTTTCAGATATATATATATAAATATGTATGTATGTATGTATGTGACACACACACATATATATGAAAAACAGCACTAGAAAGGTGTGCATGCTTTGGGAAAATCAAACAATGGGGGCAGATAATCAGTTGTCCAGCAATTCCAACTTGAAATCATAAGAGTTGAGCTGAAAAATGAAGAACATGAAGGAAATATGGCATACAAGTGAGGAAAATATGTAGTAGGTGAGGAAATGACCTGTTCCAAAAAGACGTACCACTTGTATGAGTTTATAAATGACAGTGTAGCTGGCATGCTGAATACTGCTAGCCCTTTGGTAACACACAAGCCTGCAGTGACCATGATATATGGTATTTCCCCAGTCATGTAATCCTTCAGGGCTGTTTCCCAAAAGCAAAAGAAATTATCCATATTTTCTTCTCAAAAAGGGGGTATACAATTAGCTTGGTCCTTGGGTAATGGTGTGTTAGATGGATCAGTGTGGAAATGGGATGAGTCAGATGCATGCAGTTGCCAGGGGAGAGATTTTGATAGCTTTCAGGACAAGGTAATGAAGCAAATGGAGAGCAGTGGAAGAGGGTGAGACATAGGGGGAGGTAAGAGGAAAAGATTGTCATTTAAGATTATCAACACAGGATCAGAATGAACATCAGCCTCTTTCTTCCTGGAGAGGTAATATTGGCTTACTTTTCTAATAAGTTGGGTATTTGTTTTTTAATTTGTGGGGTTTTTTTGAGAAACTTATAAGGTTATTTTACAATAAAGAAGAAGGTTAGCTGACTTGCAAAGCCATATTATTGCCAGCAAAAATAGCCTGATATGGAAACTGCATTTGGAGGACTTCCTTAGAACACAAATGCCAGTTAGTAAGCTTAGACTTTGTTTTTCATAAAATATCATTCTCCTGGCTCCCCTCACCTTTAAACTTCTGCAGCATCCCACTGAGACCTGGAACTTGGAATGCACTCTTTGGTTTGTTGGAAACAATTTTTGGCTTCTTCAAGGTGTAGATCTCGCACCTAGAGAAGAAAAGAATTGATTGCTCACAATTCTGACATTGTGTCTCTCAAAGACCAATGTCTCCCTCGGCTTTCCCTCCACTGATGCCACCTCACCGTACTCCACTTCGCTGAAGAACCTGAGGGAGGGAGAGGTGAGGGCAGTGACAATGCAGCCTGAAGAAATGTCTTTGTGGCTGCCTTTCCATTCACTGAGTGACCTAGGGAAGGACTTCTCAGGAAGCCCTTGTTCTTCCCATTTTTTCTTATAGGAAAGAGAAAAACCGTTTTTTTCCCTATGAGATGCCAAAGTGTTTAAGCAAAAAGAGGTTAATCATTGACAGTAGGACTAAAGTCGTTATTCCCTGAGACTTGTTATTTATTTATTTATTTATTTATTTATTTATTTATTTATCTATCTATTGCAACCCAAAGAACATCACCTAAAAAGTCTGTGCAAAACTCTCCTTGCAGAAAACTTGGGGGCCTGGCAGATAAAGAAGACATGATCCTTCCTGTGACAAGATAGGCACCTATGAAGTATAGAAACAAATGCTAAGGCAGAGGCTGAGGTCTGACTAAAATGAGTGAAGTCGTTGAGTTCTGATGCTGCAATCCCTTACTTCCGATGCTTCTATTTACCCAAACTCTGTAACCCCCCACCACACACATCCCTACCATTAAATAGTTTCACTTGTCATCATCAATTTGAAACTGTGTAATACACAAACTTTTTAAAATTATGATTGATTCGAGATCACTCTTACTGTTATAATTCTGTCCTCACACAAAAAAGGACCATGCCTGGTATGGAACACTTACCTTCTTAAGGTGTTAATCACATCCTGGGGAGAAGAGACAATATGTAAGTCAAGTGTAAGGTTTCCACATTTAGAAAATTAACATGGCTAATTAAAATTTAATTGTAGATAAATTCCAAGTATGTCTTAGTACAATCATCACCTCTGCAATATTTAGGATATTCTGCTAAAGGACTCTTTAGCTAAAGACTCTTTACCTATGGACTCTTTAGGACTCTTCTGCTAAAAAATGATGTGTCATTTATCTGAAATTCAAATTTAACTATACATTCCTTATTTTGCCTGGCAAATCTTGAAGGAGTGATAAGCCCTCCTACCTCACAAAGTTTTACTCACCTTCCTCCTCACACCCCTAGCACTCCTGCCTATGGTGTGAATAAGAAGATTGTCAGAATAAATAAATGGGGACAAACTTTAGAGATAACACCCAGACCAAACCTCCCAAAGGCTCATGTGAGGATGTTAGAAAGACATTTCAAGAGTCTGGAGATGTAATATTTAAAAGGAAGAGAGTCGGCCCACAGTTTTTTAAATATACATTGATGAACCAACCCCTTAATTCATTATACTTTTCTTTATTATAGAGACAAAGGCAAAATCTTCTATTTGTCAGACATCATTCTGGCTTCTGGGTTATCAAAAATAAATAATAATTCCTCAGGAAGTATATTTTCTTTTGTTGCAGGAACAAGCAAACTAGACCCTCAAACAAATGTTCCTCTGGCTTCCCTCCCCTCACTCCATGTACCTCCTACACACTACCAGAAGGGAAACTCATCAAGTTTTACATATGAAACAGGCCATAGAAACCAGCGGCATAAAAGTCTAAAATGTAATTGACTGATTTCCAACCTTTTACATTCCAGTATCCAGATCAATATCTTTTCATCACTGTCTTAAATAGTATAATTTATAAATTTTAATATGATATTAAACCAGTTCAGTCCATGTGATAAGCTTCTTTTAGCCATCTTTTTCCTCCTTTTTAACATTATTAGCCTAATTTTTTTAGTGGAAATACACCAATGTATTTGGTTTCCCCTTCTTTACTCTAAAGCCTTTATAACAACAAAGCCTTGGCTGCACATCCTCGAAAAACTTAATTTTCTGCATTAAGTTTTTTGTTGTTATTGTATATGTAAAAACAGCTAAAACTGACGTAAATTTAAAATAAAGAAATGAGAAACTCAGAAAGCACATATCACTTTGGTAATAGCTAGATTTTTAGGGAAAAATCTTGTCATCAGGATCTGTTTTTTTTTTCTTCCCAAAATCTTATTTTCTATTCAATATATGGAATTTCATTTCAAACTCTATATGGTGTCAACATGAATATCCTGGTTTAAATGATAATTCATGATATATTACCTAGCAGAAAAGAGAATTTCTCTTTCTAGACATAACCCTAATATTTTAAGCATACAAATCATTGTCCTGAATTGGGTCAAGTACATATCTTAAAATAATTACTGCAACATTGGTAAAACTACGTGAATTGAATAGGCTGATTTTCCTAGAATTGATAGACACATATATTGCTAAAGCTACTGATTTTATCATCCCTAATTAACTACATAGAGTGAGAGTAGAGATGGTTCCTCAAAGCGTAATCAAGAGGAAAAGGAGTAATTAAATGAGTTTAGATCGACAAACAATTGTCCTATACAGTCCATCCCTTAGCTGACACCATCTCCTCACGCTATAAAAATCCCACAAGGGTTTTAGTAAAAATTAACAAGATACTGAAAATTTAATGGACCTAGGACAGTGTTTCTCAGCTTTGACACTACTTGGATTATGCCCTGATAAATCTTTGCAGTGGTGCCTGCCTTGTGCTTTGCATCTGAATTGGCAGCATTTCTGGCCTCTACCCATTCAATGGTAGTAAAATTCTCCAAATGGTCCCTGCTGCAGAGGTGTTTAAATGGTCTCCAGAGAGAACTGGCTTAGCATAGAATTGTTTTACCATAGAACTAAATAGAATTACCCTACCCTATTTCAAAATTTTTTATGAAGCCATAGTAATCAAAAGCTTGGAGTGTCAGTGCAAAGATAAATATAGACATTTATGTAAGACAGTGATAATCTAGAAATATATCCTTACATTTTAGAGCAAATTGATTTTTGGCAAAAGTGCCAAAGTAATTCAGGGGAGAAAGGATAGTCTTTTCTTTCTTTTTTTTTTTAAGATTTTATGTATTTATTTTTAGGGAGGGAAGGGAGGGGGGAGAGAGAGAGAGAGAGAAACATCAATGTGCGGTTGCTGGGGGTTATGGCCTGCAACCCAGGAATGTACCCTAGCTGGGAATCGAACCTGGGACACTTTGGTTCCCAGCCCGCACTCAATCCACTGAGCTACGCCAGCCAGGGCTAGAAGGATAGTCTTTTCAACAAATGTTGAACTGAATTTCTTCATGGTTCAACATCATGAATGGGACTGGAAAATATTATGTTAAGTGAAATAAGTTAGTCAGTGAAAGGCAAATACCATATGATCTCACTCATAAGAAGAATTTAATGACCAAAATAAACTAACAAGAAAAAGAGAATAACAGACACCACTGGAAGCAGCCAGAGGGGTAGGATGAGGGATAATGATGGAAAGAACAGAAGGGACTGGTCAAAGAACATGTATGAATGACACACAGACATGGACAATGGTGTGGGAATTGACTGTGGGAGTGGGGGGTGGGCTGGATGGGGGAGGGCAAAGGGAGAAAAATTGGGAAAACTGTAATAGAATAACAAAACAGTAAGTAAGTAAAGAATCTCGATATATTTACTAAAAATCTTAGGATTGCATATTTACAATGGGTGATTTTATGTGTAACTTATACCTTAAGAAATATGCTTTTTAAGGCAGAAGTAAAGATTTAACAGATAGAAATTGATTACTCTAGTACTCAAACCAAAGTTAAGAAATTCTTGTTCAACACAGGTCAGAATGGCCATCATAAACAAATCAACACACAAGTGTTGGCGAGGTTGCAGAGAAAATGGAACCCTAGTGTACTGTTGGTGGGAATGCAGACTGGTGCAGCCACTGTGGAAAACAGTATGGAATTTCCTGAGAAAACTAAAAATGGAACTTCCTTTTGATCCAGCAATTCCACACTGGGAGTATACCCTAAAAATCCTGAACACCAATTCAAAAGAACCTATGCACCCCTATGTTCATAGCAGCATTATTTATAATAGACAAGTGCTGAAAACAGCCTAAGTGCCCATTAGTAAATCAGTGGATCAATAAACTGTGGTACATTTACACAATGGAATACTATTCCACAGAAAGAAAGAAGGAGCTCCCTTCAAGACAGCATGGATTAGACTAGAGAGCATTATGGTAAGTGAAATAAACCAGGTGGTAAAATACAAATACCATATAATCTCACTTATGAGTGGAACCTAATCAACAAAACAAATGAGCAAAACAGAACCAGAGATATGGAAATAAAGAACAAACTGACAGTGACCAGAGAAGAGGCGTGAGGGTAATAATGGGCAAAAGAAGGGGAAGGGGTCATCAAGGAAAATGTATAAAGGACCCATGAACAAAGACAATAGGAGGGAGAGGATGGAATTTGGGAGGTTGGAGTGGGTAGGGCAGGGGGAGAGTAATGGGGGGAAAATGAAGACAAGTCTAACTGATCAACAATAAAATAAATTGAAATTCTTGTTCAGCTAGCAAGAGAGAATGGCTAAAAGTCAAGCAGAGAAAATCTGAAATTTCCTGAGTCTCCATACATTTCATAGTTTAAGATCACAGTCGTACAGTTAATTTCATGAAAAAAGTTAAATATTCATAATAAGTACCATCCCTTTATCAAGTCTCTATAGGTTTCCCCCAATCTTTCCCTAGCCAGTGCAAACACACAAACACAAGCATATTCATATGTGCTCATCCCTTACCCAGTATTAGTCTACATTACATCTGCCACTCCTTAAAACAATAAAAAAAATCAAACACAAAGAGAGAAGTCAGTTATTTGACTAAGCTCAGTGAAGAAATTCTTTACAGCTAGATCACAGATAACAGAAGCCTATAGACTCTTTTCTCAAATTTTGTCCAATCCTTTATAAATAACAGCCATGGGAATTTCTCTTGCCATTTGTATACTGAATTTCCCAATGACCCTTGAAATGAATGACAGATAAGGGGCTCTGAGTGGTCAATGGAACATTTTAATGAGAAAGAAGGTGCAGGGACCTAGAAGGGAAAATAACTTAATCTCTCTGTTTTCTCTGAATCTCATTATATCTGGGAGCCCCATCCCAAGTCTTACCTGCAGCATGTCTATACTTGATTCATGCATATGACGCTGAAGATCTGAGGCGAGCTCACTCATATATTGCTTCTGTTGGACCATCTGGTCTTTAGCCATAGTCAAGTTGTCCAGCACATTCACTTCATCTTCCTCCAGCCTTTGCAGCTCCCTCTGCTCCTCTTTGTCCAGGATGCCTCTCATTTGTTCAAACCCTTGCAGAATCCTCTCTCTCTCAGTCTGCATGTGTTTCTTTGGAGATGAGAAGAGAAAGAGGTTGTCAGTCTTGCATGAGCCTTGGGAGCCAAGACAAGAAATATTTTCTTCAGGCACTTAGGAGGTAAAAGAAAAAAAGCCATTCCAGGCTTTTTCACATTCCATTTTTCCTACTATTTTTCCTTGAGTTTTTCCTAGAGTAATTCACTCAAGTCTACTTTCCCAAGGTCCACCAGGGGACACAATGTGCTATGTGGATGTGGCTTAGATTGTAGAGACCTGTTCTGGACAATTATGCCATACTGTATATGAAACTCCTCCACCCATATCTGCAAAACGGAATCCTGGGCCTTCCTTAATGAGTTTTCTGTAAGTATCAGAGCCTCAAACTTGACAATGGAAATGGGTCATGGAATTCATGAATAATTTTTACATTGCTTCCCTCTAGGTATTTGCCTCCAAAACAGTGGCTTTACTTGTGACATATCTACTCTGTAGCCCCCAACCCTCAACAGGGAAAAACTAATCAAATGGACTAATCAAATATCTTCTGGACTCATTAATTATGAGGTACCAAGAAGGAAGTGGCCTCCTTGTAATTAGACAAAGAGGCTGCCCAGTTTCCTATGTCAGAACTCCCTCAGGAATAATGTCTTTCTACCTTCCAAGTAGCTCTCTCTTCATTGATGTCAGCTTCCAACTGCTCAGCTTCCTGCTGCTCCTGTGACAGCTTCTTCAGAGCTTCCTGGAGCTTCTCCTGTCAGAAAGAAATCACCAAAGTCAAGCTATGAGCTTTCTTTGAACATGGATTAAGGATAAATGAATCAGAAATCAGACTCACCTCAGAGGACACTAAAGTTTTAGAAATGAACCGCAATTAGAACTGAGAATGTAGACAGAAATCTGAGCAGGTGATGCAAGTTCTTTCTCCCTGGGTGATGTGAGTTATCACCCCTCTATCAAGAGTACCTTGTATCTCTCTTTTCCTAGAGGAAGACCTGATCGTGCAGCAAGTAAAGTCCTTTCCTCTCATGGACACTTTTCTCTCCTATAAGCAAATGTTCCTAAAAATCCCATCTGCTCACAGGGGCAATCAGAGCTTATTTTAGGAAGCAACTCTCAGTCATACAACTTCTTTTTGCTAAGATCATGTTGTCTCCACTTATGCTTGAAGAAAGTGAAAGAATGCATTGAATGTTCTTCAAGCCTCAGAAGCTGAGCCAAGGGTACGACAAGAGAATGCAGGGCTAGTTCTATGATGACAAGGAGAATGAGTAGGATTAAAAAGTGAAAATTTCATTTCAGATATCATCCTGTTCAATGTCAAGTATGACCCACCCTGTGTCTTACCTGACATTCCGTGACCACCTCCATTATGGGGGACATTTGGTGACCTTGGTGCTCCTGGACACAAAGCCTGCAAATAGCCCTCCCATCGTCCTTACAGAAGATATCATAATTTTCCCCATGGTGTTCACAGAGATCTCTCCTCCTTGGCTGGTGTGAATTCATGTCCACCTCCCTGAATTTCTTCACTCTCTCTGCCAGCTGCCAGTTAAACTGGAGGTTCCAAGGCTGGTATCTGCTCTGACAAACAGGACAGCAGCATTCCAATTCTTGAGGGTTCCCTGATTCACTGTACACAGTGATACAGTCTTCACAGAAGTTGTGGCCACAGTCCAAGCTCATGGGTTCTCTTAGGAGCTCCTGGCAGATAGGGCAGATCACCTCTTTTATGCTCTCTTGTGATGAAAAATCCATGGCCAACTTCCCCTGGCTTCTTCCTGTCCTGACTCCAGAGGTTCTTCTTGCTCACAAACTTCTGTGGGGCTGGTGATACCAAAGGGGAAAGGATAAGAATGGCAGGAAGAGAAAGGACACTGATGTACAGAGATTTAGAACAGGACAAAACATTGATATTCAGTTAGGAAAGGAAAAGAGAGAGAGAAGAAGGGTAGGTCAGTGACAGGATGAAAAGGGCGCTTGGTAATACTTTCAAATACTTTACTCTTACTTCATGTCACATGACAAATTTCATCCTTTTGAGGCAATGACAGATTGCTATTTTCTCTGTTTCTATTGGATAGAAGGACAAATTGAGGCCCTTCCTACCAAGAGCTTTGTGCCTCTCCATCATGAGTCTTATTTAGTTTCCCCCTCCCCCAAATACATCCAACATGTTACAGTAACGTTACTGCAGACTGCTAGGTTTTTATACTTGCTCTTTTCTGAATGGAATAGTCCTAAACCTATCACTTGCATTACTTATTTTATTTTAATAATTCAATGGAGTTATATTTACATCACATGTATAGTTTTAAGAGTATAATAATTTCTAGTAAATTTATGGAATGGTATAACTATCACCGAATTTCATTTTAGAACATATTTATTTCTTGAAAACAAAGCTAATGCCATTAGCAGTCACTCCCATTCTGATCCCAAGTCTCAGACTACCATTAATATCACTTGTGTTTTTATAGATTTACTTTTACTGGTAAATTTGTAACAGTGAAAGCATATGGTCTTGTGAGTCAGAATTCTTCCACGTTGCATCTGTCATTGAGATTCATCTCTCCTGCCTTTCTCTCCCATGAAAAAACATAACCTCAATATTAAAATTAGAAAACCCACTGCTGTCTCAGAGATTTTGTACTTCTTGTCTCTGCATGGCATGATCTTCTCCCTGATGTCTGCATGCCTTCTTCTTACATTTTATTCAGTCTCCGTCCTATATGGCCTTTTATTAGAAGGGCCTGCTCCAGCGTATCTACAGCAAAACTGTCAATACTAGCACTTGCTATAAATTTCCTCTATTTTTCTTATTTTACTATAAAATATATAACATCTTTCTTTAACCGTTTACTTTTTTTTCTTAAAAACAAATTCATGAATAGATTGGGCACCATTCTGTCCACTGATGTGTCCTCTATACCTAGAAGAGTGCATCACACAGGAACACAATATTTGATGCATATAGAAAACTAGAAGCTCCCCATCTCTCCATGGAAGATTGGAACTTTTGAATCAGCTCTTCATTTTTATACCATAATCAGCAGTTCTCCAATACCTGAGAATTGTTTCCTTGCTAACACACCTGTGCCCCACAGAGCATCCACGTGCCCTGAAACTCATTCCCCAGAGAAACCTACAGAAACAGCAAAGACCACAATAGAGAGGTCATTTTATTACTAACGGTTTTATAACCAGTTGTAATTTAGAAATTACCTTGACCCATTTATTTCTTATTTGAAATTTTTGATAAATAACTACTGCCTTCTTGGATTAAGGATTACACAAAATAGTCACAAAATCAACACCAGAATGTAAAAGTAGAGCATAGGGAATGAAGTCCATACTATGGTAAAAAACTACGTATGGTGCCAGGTGGGTACTTGAAATATCAGTGGGGGAGAAATCACTCTGTAAACTATATGATTGTCTAAGCACTATGCTGTAAATCTGAAACTAAAACACAATTATATTGAATGTCAACTGTAATTGAAAATTAAATTAAAACAAATAATAAAATATGAATTTAAAAGTAAAAAAAAATATTCTTTAGATGTGTAAATAAAATAAAAGACAAAGTTCAAGGTCATTCTTTTAAAAGGGGTACCGGTGTGGGAAACATACTATCCTCAATAGTGCCATTCAGTGTTCTCTCCATTACTGCACAGATCAAGTAAAGGTAGAGGTTGCACGAACTAGATTGATACCCAGTGCTATGGAGGTGTAGAAACAGAGAGAACAAAACCATCTGGGTAGTTCTGGGGAGTTTTGTATTTGTACACTTGGGGCCTATACCATAGCCAGGACGTAAGGGAGCATGTCAAAAGGCACATAAATGTGTGTGTTTTTAGGGAAGGAGAGGTGTGATCAGGATCACACATACAACAGAGACCTGAAGAACATAAATTCCAATGAGGCATCTGTCAGTCAGGAGAGGGAAGACTCAATATGTAAGGATACCATGTCTTGGAGAAATAAACTGTCCTGTTCCAAGCACGTAAAGTGCTATTATGGATTGAATTGTGTCTTTCAAAAAGACGCTGTTGCAGGTGATCATGTTAAAATGACATCATTAGGATATGTGTTAATCCAACATGACTGTGTCCTTATAAATGGGAAATTTGTGTACAGATAAACATGCATGTTTAGAGAATGCCCTGTGAAGATAAAAGCAGAGATCAGAGTGATTCACTAGATAAGAAAGAATGCCAGTGAGTGCAAGCAACTATCAGGAGTGCAGCCAGCAGAGGGGCCTGGAACTGTTGCTTCCCTCACAGCTCTGAGAGGAACCAGCCCTGCCAACATCACTGATGTTTTATTTCTAGCCTCCAGAACTGTGAGAAGAAATTTTGGTTAAGCCACCTACTTTATAGTACATTTTGTATGGCATCCCCAGAAAACTAAATACATTTTTATTTTTCTTTTATTCCTTTATTGTATTCTATCATTGAAGAAGCATTATACCATTGAAACCCTTCCACTTAAGACAGACAGAGACAAAATGTATTCTTGCTTTTGGAGATAATCCAATGTATGAGGTTTACAGAGTAAGGTAAGGGCCAACTAGGGTGTCAGTTTTCTTATCTCACTATATCCTAACAGCCTGCACAGGGGCTTTTTGTATCTGTGCTGTTTGGACAAGAAAAATGAAAGCGTCCCCACAATGTTGAAAAAGTCCTATGTGGGGTTTAGCCAACATCCTTGAAACCTCTCTTGCAACTTGATTCACAGACTACCTGTGGGAAGGGGAGCCTGTTATATCTCCTGGCTCTCACCAGAAGCACCCGGAGGCCTGGAAATCTCAGGAACATTGCAACTCCTCTTCATTCTTCTGTATTCATTGTTTTTTCTTCACCCCCACCTCCTTCAAGTCCAGGGTTTAATTTGAACCACTTAATGAACCTTCCCACAATGCTCTACCTCTCAGGTCATTTTGTTTCAAAGAAGTCAGTTGGTAACAGAGACCTTCTTCAGAAAGCGGCCTAGTCTCGTCACTTTCTCTCATAGTTCATCACAAAACCCTGCAGTACTTTCTTCAACTTAGGTCCCATCCAACTCAGTCTTTTACCTGGATTCCAGAAATGGTTTCCCACTAGTCTTCCTGATACTGTCCCTGGTCTCATACAGTCTTCTGTTGTCATGAATCACCACCAGCCAAAGTGATTTTTTAAAGTATCTATTAATGGTGTCACTCCTTTGTTCAGATGCACATCATCAGTGAGTTGATCTCATCATGGTCTAGTTGGGTCCAATTCTGCATCCCCTTCTGCTGTCTCATACTCTCAACCCACCTTCCCTCCAACCCACACTGGCTGCCTTTCTGTTCCTCAATCAATCAGTACAAAAAATACCATTTTCTTGAAGACTTTAACCGAAATCTCCTTCTCATACTGAGAACAAACCTGAAATGTATTTAAAATTGCAAAGATCTTTACGAGGGAACAATACAAGCCATGCCCTGTTGTAGCCCATTTGGTTTATTATTTTTGTTGTCTCATTGTTTTACATTTATAATAAATTAGTTTTTTTGTTTTATACCTGTTCACTCTGTCCCAAAACATAATTTTTGTAAGTACATAATATTTGTTATGATTTCAATAGAAGTTAATACACTTTTTTTTTTACCAGAGCTCCATGCATTTGATCTTTTGATTTTAACAAAAATTTCAAATTGCATAGTAATTTATTTTCTTCTGTTGTGGTGACCTGCAAGAACCCTTGAGAATTCAATTACTGTATACCTGTTATGAACCTTGTACGTGTTAGACACAGACTCATGTTCTCTCAGAACAGGGAGGAAAGGAAAGTACACCTCACATCAAAATATATGTATCAGAGAGATTAAGGTACAAATTGTTCAAAAGGGAATTTAAGATGGAGCTCTTTCTGAAAAATTACCAACTCCTTTTTTTAGCTCCATGCTAGGGAAAAGTTAAGTAAATGGTTAAGGTAATAAACAATTGAAGGTTATGTCTAAGATGATGCAGAACGTATTCTGAAGCAGGAGCAGGCAGCAAAGAGTCATGGGACAAACTGCGGTAAGTGTAAGCCATGGAATTCAGAGGAGAATAACCCCAAGTTCCATGGTTTACTGGATCCCCAAAGAGACAAGTGACCAGGTGGGAGCCACAGAGATGTGCAGCAACCTGATCATCCAGACTTGCCAAAGGGCTGACCATTGATCAGGAAGGATGTGCACAGATTCCCACAAGTTACCAAGATAACAGTAAAAGTATCATGGTCTAGTGAAGAGGCACCAGGTGACATATGTGGTCTAAAGAGAGGAAGAAAAAGCCCCTGAAACAGCCCAAGAAGCAGGCCAAGAAGATAGACTAGGAAAATATTCAAACAGAAACAAATAACGGGAGCAGAGGAAACTCAAGTTGCTGAAAGCAAAGGCCATGGGGAAGGGTCCCCCAGGACACATGTGACATAAGAAATCTACCTGGAAGTGAGCTGTTTCCTTTGCCTGGAGAAATAGTGATTCTTCATTCCATTCCTGTTAACATCTGGATACCTTGTTATAACTTGAACATGTTAGACATGTTCTGCTGCCACTTATAGCTAGAATGAATTGTCTTGGAACTCATTGCATATTTATGAATAAACTTTTATAAAAAATATCGATAACAAAAGAGTAAAGAATTCAGCTTCAATAGGGTTTCATCCATGGCAGGGCCCCTAAAATCCCTCCCGCCATGTGCATTCAGGTAAAGGATGTTATATCTCTCCTGGCCCTCACCAGGAGCTTGGGATAGATGAAGAAGGACACCAGGGCCCACCTCACAGGCTTCAATAGAGAAAAGGAAGAAGGGATTATCTGCCTGGGAAAAAACAGAGGGTATAAGTATTCTGGCTCACCTTGGCAAGGTAGAATGTCAAAACCACAAAGTAAGAGGAAGAGGAGGGTAAGTCACCCTGGAGAAATAACGGTCCCTCCAAGAAACAAACAAGACTTTGTTCTTTTAAACCTCCCTTCTTGGAAGGTCACTCTCAGAATGTTCCTCTTTTCTGCCACCTCAGCAAAGACAGCCACAAGCAAAGCAGCTTCAGAACCACGATTTAAGTCACCAAACACATTCAATCTGTTCTCCCAAAGCCTCCTGTCCTTTGCCCTCAGAAACTGCCTCACTTATCTTCAGGAGAAGTACAGTTGTCCTGAACCAATGGAGAAGATCAGCTGTAGGCCTGCTCAACATTTACTCACCAAGCCAAAGATCAGCTCTCCACAGAGGAGCTCCCCACAGGAAAAGGGTGAGAAATGAAACTTAAATTCTTAGGAGTGGAAATGAAACCAAGGGAGCAGAAGAGAAACTTAAGAACAATGCCACCTAGTGGGACACTTGGGGAAGTTAATGCCTTAGTAAATTCTAGGACCTACCCGAGCACAGCTCTCAATCACTGTGGTTTTCTCCCTTTTGCAAATTATTCTAGCAAGAATATTTGAATAGGGAGAATGTGAATTCCAATGATATAATCTTCAGCTTGACTGAATTCTCAGAATTTCAGTTCAGTTCTATAACTATCAGTTAAGCTTCTCTGTATTCAGGTCCTAAACAACTTACTAGGGATGAACTCATGATCCAGAAAGTCTGGGGACCTGCCCTTTGTAATGCAGAGTGTGATGGGGAAGGTAATTAGGGAAAGAGCTCTGTTAATTTGAGCTCAGTGGTGACAGCTGTCATTGTGACAGGTAAAAATAAAATTTAGATAAGGCTCTTCACTGTGAGCTTACTGAGAAAATTTTCACACAACAGCATTGAATCTTAGGGGTCCACCTGTCAATTACCAGCTTTTCCTCCTGGCCAAGGAAGTCCACATGAGGAAGGCCAGGTGAGGAAGTCTTCCAGACATAATGGTGGCACAACTGTGTCAGTGACAAATTATCAGCAACCAGGAGGTAAGCAGATGGTGCTGTTCAAGTGTGGCCTTTCTCTGGGTAACACACTTCCATAATCATGCAATTTCCCCACTTCCCATGGTCTTTTTTACACCATGAGTCAAAAGCAGAACTGAAGTAAATTAAAAATTAAAAAGAATAAATTTAAAAGGTAAGAATATTGCATGACATAGTGTAACAATAAAATAAAAATATTTACTTTTTAAAAAAAGCAGAGCTGAAACATTTCTATTTCCTACATGTGCTTTCATGTCCTGTTATGGATCTTGTTCTTCTGAGAACGTGTTTCAGATGGTACAGCTACAAGATGGGGAAGCTCCAGACAGGGGTCCCTGACTAACTACGTTTCACAGCTCAGCCATCTTCATACATTAACTGATATGAGACATGCATGGTGTCTGAATCATAGATGTTGTTTTTAAGAAAAGTACGGGTATTTTGGTATTACATACCTCTGTGAGGCAGGAAATGGAATTAATATAGGCAAATTTGCTGAGCCATTTTGACAGTTTTAGTTTCAAAGGTGTGAAAGAAGTTATTTCTAACAAATAAATTGGATACTTTGCAGGTGCAATGACAACCGTGAATTTTGCAGTAACTGCATTCCAAAGGCTGGCCCTTTTTCCTTTATCATCTTTGTCATCACACATTTTCACTGTGTATTCCTCTTCATTTGACCCTGCACCCCAAAACATTAAGGTTTATAAAGGTAGGAAGGGACCCATATAAATCCTTATTGTGTCAAATTTATTATAAAACATTGCATATGGGGAAAATTGCAACAGGAAAAATTTAGAGATTAATTTCCCCCACTTTCCATGATGAAAGCAAAGGTATAAACATGTGCATGCATACACACAGAGATACTGGCAATTTCCTGGTTGGAGTCATTTGTCTCATTAAAGGTCATCCAAAGTGAGGAAGTTGGGAATTCCTGGAGACAACAGGACTGAGAAAACAGTACTTGACAAAAAGCACTTTTTTTTTCTTATCTCTGATGTTGACTGGGGAAGAGTTAGAAATAAAATGCAAAAACACATTGGGATCTCACCAATTTCTGAATGAACATACTCCCCTCTTATCTCATTGGAAGGAGAATGGGCTTTTCTCTTTGTTCTTGAGAGCTTTCCACTCAGTGCAAATGTAGGACTGACCTGGACAACAAAACACTTCGCTGCACCATTGTAAAGAAATCCCACAATTGTACTTCCAACTCATGGTGTCACTGTGAATAATAAGTTTTTAAAGCTGAGAAAACAAAGCAAATATATAAGTCCAATTTCAGTGAAATAGAATTACTCCAGAAGAAATGGAGGAAAAAAGACTAGGTAGCTAGAAATGGTATAAACATTTATTTTACAATAGCTAAAATCTAATGAAAATTATAATTCATTGTTTTATTTCTTAAAACAAAGCAAGGGTGACAATGTTGAAAATAAACTAATATGTATTCTTAAAATAATTTATTTCAGTCATAGTGAGATGCAAACAAAAAACAAATGAACAGCATACTGAAGTAATCATTACTTCATTTGTGCTAAAAAATGACAGAAGTCATTGAAAATATTCTGTTGTTTAATTTACACAGTATTACAAGGTAAATTTCATTAATTTTTTTACAAATGAAAAACTGAATCCCACAGAATTTAGATTATTTGATTAAGGTTAATATGTAGCAAACCAGAATTATAATAAAATTCTCACTGTCTCTCTCTCTCTCTCTCTCTCTCTCTCTCTCACACACACACACACACACACATACACACACTCTCATCTGTCACAGGCAGAGCTGCAGGAGCCCTGATGGTAGCACAGAGGCATCCGGCATCTGAAACACCAGACTTCAGTTAAAACCACGGTAGTGCCCCTGAAGTGACAAATCTGTTTCATGAGACATTGACACAGCTTATATTTTTCAGTAATTAGAAGAGGAAATGTTTATTACGTTGAGATGCTTACAGGTTTTATACTTCATGACACTTTTCTTATCATGATGATTCTAACTATGGTGTTTTTTTTTTTAAATACCAGGACTATTTTTAAGTAAATGAAGCAAACATTTAAGTATCTTATTCAAGGTTACACTGCACCTGTTTGGAGAGACTTGGACTTGTACTCAAACAGTCTGGACAGAAAACTCCCGTTTAGTACATACTATTTATGACATTCTCCTTCACTCCTTAATGAGTGAGGAGCATAATGAGTAAACTGACACATTCCTGAAGACTCATTCTACAGTGAATGATTCCTATACAAAACCTTGAATTGTAGATAAAGAAAGTTGTTGAACACCTTTCCTTCTTCTTCTCAGTGGCAAAGGAAATAAAATTGTAAAAATTTGGCATAGATGTCACCTCCACACATGATTTTTTTTGTGGAGCATTAATCATTTTCTTTGGGATGATGGAAAATAGCAAATTATGATTCTTTACTAATGCAAACAAGACATTGAGAATAATACTCATGACAAAAGGCATGAGTATTCTCTTTACTCTCTATTACACTAAACCTTACATTCTATTGTTGAATGAAGGATGTTGAAATAAAACAAAAAGGGAGGTAGCAATAAAAAGTTGGTGAGAATGGTGCAGATCAGCTCAGTGTGTTAGATGCACCCAAGACCAGAGGGTGAAGGTGTAAGAGATTTAAAAGGTTGGAGAACACTGTGTCATGGGGACAGTACATGTCATGGGATTGAAATATGGATCAATTTTCTGAGAAAATGAACATGAAGAGAATTTACAGATAGAAAACCATGGCTTATAACCTTAAAAAATGAGACAGTGCCAGCATTGTAGTCTAGGAAAACTCCATCATGATGAGGAGGAATAGTTGGGGAAATGATTAAATTTGCTTCTGTGGTTTTTGCATAGTTTTTATTTCATAATCATAAATTTAACTACGCAACCCAGGTAGACTTGGACGGAATAAGGAAAACATGGAACCCAATGAGGTGAGGTGAGAGCATAAAGATTATAAAACAATTACAAGCACAGGACTTCCATACAGTTAGATTTTCTGGCAGTTCTGGTTGTATTTTGTTTTGAGGTTGTGCAAGGAAGGAAGTATATCTACCTGTACCTCCACCTGTCCCTGAAGCCAGCTGCTTCAGGATTAAATTCTCATCACTTTTCTTCCTGTAGTTGGGCTTGTTGCCTATACCATTGTGATGTCTGAAGTCACCACCATGGCACATAAATCCCAGAATAATTCTATGAAAGCAGAACCTTTATAACCAAATTCTTTCTCTCTTGTGGTCAGAGCACAAAAGTTTTTTTGCTGTCTTGGAACTGTATCTGAAAACAGCTCAAAAGAAATATGGCCAATGGCTCGCTGTCAGCAGTGATGTCTTAGAAGATGGTAAGGTTGGTCTTGGATTGGCATGGGACATTCCGGAGCTGCGGGATCTGCAAGGCCAAGGGTTAATTTCAAGGGATTAGAGGAGAAAGTTTCCAAAAACATCATTATATTCAAACTGATTCTCTAACCCTAAAAACCCAATAACCATTTGTAGGTTGATAACCAGAGTTAAGAGATCAACCACTGTTTATTTGTTGCATCCTATAAAATTGTGTACCGAAATTCAGGTGATTGAGGTCAGGGAGCCCATTCTTGTCAGAAAACAGACTGCAGTCATGAAACTGATTGAGACCAGGAAGTTTTTCACCATATACTTCCAAGATCCAGGCCTGTTTCTCTGAAATATCCACCTTCCAGTAAGGTTTCCCTGATGTGATAACCAGTATGACAAGTACAGCATAATCATTGTTCTAATTTGTATTATACATGTAGAAATGATATTCATATCTCACTTTTCTCTGATATGCAGAAATGGCAACATTTGGTTTGTCCTTGGGAGGGTCCATGGTAATGTGCCCTGTAAGAAAAATTACAGGGTTGGGTCAGAGATAAGATGTACCTTTATTTGTGACATTGTCGTAGGATCTTGAGAATAATGTGAGTGGAAACTAGGAAGAACTCAGTTCTAATCTTGGGAATACGTATAACACTGATGAAACATAATGTGAATGTGTGTGTTGGAAAGGGAATGCAGATGTCAAAACAAGAGACCTAATATGAAACACAAAAATAGGAAAGAAGATGAGGAAAGAGACTGCATGATACAGAGATTTATCCTTACCCAAAGAGCAACATATATCTTTCAACTCTAAAATGATAAAAATTCAAATGAAATATAAGAAAAGGAGTGAGCACTAGAATCTATTTCCTCTCCAGATCAAGGGAAATACTGGGGCATATGTGAGGTAGTAAGCAGAAGAGTGAGGTGTAAAAAAGATAGCTGTTGGCTAGCCATTATATGGCTACATCATCAGCACATGAGATCCATCCTCCTTTACTCCTTTATCCACACCTAAGAACTGAACGCTCCTCCATCTTACTCCCACCAACACAAAAACTCCGTAGCCATCCACCAGCTCTGGCATTCCTCACCATTAAACATCTGCAGCACCCCGCTCAAGTCAGGAACTCGGAACACTCCTCTTTGTTCCTTGCAGAGAATCTTTGGCTTCTTCAGAGTGAAGGTCTTACTCCTAGGGTGACAAAAAAGATTCCCACACCATTGATTTTTGTCTCTTCAAAAACTGATTTCTGTCTATTCACTCCATTAAGTGCTTGAGCCTCCTTCCATGGACCCCTGAGAAAGGAGAGAGCAGACTCTTGACCTTGTAGCCAAAGAACTGTGCTCATGTCCAACTTTACAATATACTCTGTGTGATCTTAGGAAGGACTTGACCTCTCAGAAGCACAGTTTATTTCTTCCAAAGTGAAAACTAACCTCTACTTCTCTTACTCACTGGAATCATATAAAAACCATGAAATGATTTTTTTTATAAAAAAGAAACTTTGGTTCCTTAAAACAAAATCATGTAAGGAAAACTCACTGAATGGATATAAAGAGGTATTACATGCAAGTGAGGTTGCAGAATCAATGTGCTGGTTGCCTGAGTTATATCAAGTGAAGGAATATGGCCTGGAGGGGATCAAGACCTCCAAAGTCTGCTCCCCCATGGGAAGGCCATCCAAATAATATTTGAGATTTCAGAATCTCTGGAAAAATTTTAACACTTGGAAAAGAAGACACTATGAATATCACATTGACAGTGATCTGAATTTTATGTGTTTGAAGAGATTGTTGCAGCCAAGTAGGTGTACAGATTTAGACATGAGGATGCTCCCTACTCATTCTGGCTTTAAAAGTGCATGGTCGGCCCTGGCTGGCGTAGTTCAGTGGATTGAGCGCAGGCTGCGAACCAAAGTACCGCAGGTTCAATTCCCAGCCAGAGTACATGCCAGGGTTGCAGGCCACGGCCCCCAACAACCGCACATTCATGTTTCTCTCTCTCTTTCTCCATCCCTTCTCTCTCTAAAAATAAATAAATAAATCTTAAAAAAAAGTGCATGGTCAAGAGGGACCTATTATTTGCACCAGGGCCAAAATATTCTTTGCAATTCAAGTCTGTTTTTGAAAAATAAAGAGAACTGTATGGAAGGGAGTTGGTTACTTCTAGTCCTAAAGAAGAAATTTAAATATCAAAGAGTTGTCTCCAATTCTGGGTTCTTGGCAGGTAAAGAAGACACAACCCACCCACAATAGATCAAGCAGCTCTGAAATATGGGAACCTGAGTTAGTTAGATACAGGCATGCTCGGTCAATAAAATTTATGAAATCACATGGCTTCATAATACTGCAATATTTTATCCCTAACTTCTGCTGACTCAAACTCTGCAATTCCCACCTCCCAACCTAAACATCCCACTACAGAAACTGGTACATTGTCAATGCTTAAAGGACACTCAAATGATCTATGAACATAAATTTAAGATAAAAGTACACCCGAATTTTCCTGCCCTGAGCAGTACTGTATTCTAACTAACTACCAGATAACTTTAATGGCTTTAAACCTCTTTTCACAGCACAAAATGACCATCTCTGGTCTCCCACACATACCTTTCCATGATGCCATTCACATCCTAGGGAGAAAAGAGAAAACACGAGTAAAGTAGTAATAAGCCTTCTAACTTACAAAGCTTCATCATATCCCCACCACCCCTTGATGTGGTGGGAATAGCAATGGTCCCAATGTAAGAACAAAAAACTAAAAAAGACCCAGTCAACCATTCAAGAAGACTCATGTGACATTTTCAGGTTTGCTAAAAGGTAGAAAAAACTTTCACCTTGTGGAAGTAGTGTGAGGCTTCTACCTGGACATAAGGTATACTTAGGAGGAAAACATGAGACCCATGATATTTTCCCCATGTTCATAAGGCTCTTGTGAGATGATTTGAATAATTCATGGCTTGTTCATTTATTCAACATGAATATAAAGTGATATACTTTTACTTGTCAAGCATTATGCCATGACTGGGAGAATCAAAGATGAATAGTTAGAGTATTACTCAAGAAGTTTACATGACTTCTGCTGAGAGTACAAACAAACAAATGCATTAATGTAGGCTTTTCTCAAGTCTCTCCTCATTTGATACACTATAACTGATTGCATCCACTCCCGAAATTCAACATATGCAATTGATTTCCAAGTTTTATTTTTACTCAATGTTGTCTCTTAAATGCAGGTTAATATATTCCCTAGTAAATAAGTTACAGGAATGAGTAACTTAGGATATTCCACATATACCTTTCTCTTCACCAAATTGTCTCTTCCCTCATATTCCTTTATCCATGTTATAATATCCCCTTAGTCACTGTCCTAAACACTATAGTATTTACCTGCATTTCAGTCCCTACTAAAGCAGTTTAGTCCACACCATCAGCAGATTTTAGTCATCTGAACTTCTTCATCGCCACAAATTTATTTCTTTTTTTAAAATATATTTTATTAATTATGCTATTACACTTGTCCCATTTCCCCCTTCACTCCCCTCCACCTTGTACACCCTCTCCCACCCACATCCCCCCCTTTAGTCATGTCCATGTGTCATACATATAAGTTCTTCAGCTTCTACATTTCCCATACTATTCTTGCCCTCCCCCTGTCTATTTTCTACCTACCATCTATGCTACTTATTCTCTATACCTTTTCCCCTCTCTCCTCCTCCCACTCCCCTGTTGATAAACCTCCATGTGATCTCCATTTCTGTGGTTCTGTTCCTGTTCTACTTGTTTGCTTAGTTTCTTTTGGTTTTGCTTTAGGTGTGGTTGTTAATAATTGTAAGTTTGCTGTCCTTTTACTGTACATGCTTTTTTTAATCTTCTTTTCTTAAATAAGTCCCTTTAACATTTCATAAAATAAGGGTTTGGTGATGATGAACTCCTTTAACTTGACCTTATCTGAGAAACACTTTATCTGTCCTTCCATTGTAAATGAAAGCTTTGCTGTATAGAGTAATCTGGGATGTAGGTCCTTGTCTTTCATGACTTGGAATACTCCTTTCCAGCCCCTTCTTGTCTGTAAGGTCTCTTTTGAGAAATCAGCTGACAGTCTGATGGGAACTCCTTTGTAGGTGACTGTCCCCTTATCTCTTGCTGCTTCTAGGATTCTCTCCTTCGTTTTTACCTTGGCTAATGTAATTATGATGTGCCTTGGTGTGTTTCTTCTTGGGTCCAATTTTTTGGGACTCTCTGAGCTTCCTGGATTTCCTGGAAGTCTACTTCCTTTGCCAGAATGGGGAAGTTCTCCTTTATTATTTGTTCAAATGCGTGCTCAATCTGTTGCTTTTCCTCTTCCCCTTCTGGTACCCCTATAATTTGGATGTTGGAATGTTTAAAGATGTGCTGGAGGTTCCTAAGCTTCTCATTTTTTTGAATTCTTATTTCTCCATTCTTTCCTGTTTGGTTGTTTTTCTTCCTTCTGGTCCACTCTATTGTTTTGAGTCCCAGTTTCCTTCCCATCACTATTGTTTCCCTGTGCATTTTCCTTCATTCTTTTATGGTAACCTGCATTTTTTCATGTAATTTGTGCCCAAAATCAACCACTTCTGTGAGCTTCCTGATCATCAGTGTTTTGAACTGTGCATCTGATAAATTGGCTATCTCTCAGTTGCTTAAAATGATGAGTCCTGGGGCATTGATCTGTTCTTTTGTTTGAGACATGTCTCTCTTTCTCTCTCTGTCTCTCTTTTTTTTTTTTTTTTGGTCTGGTCGCTCCTGTTACAGTGAGGGGCAGAGCCTTAGGTGTTCACCAGGGCTGGGCACCCCAGTCACTAGATTGTGACGTTGTATGTGGGGGTGGGGGCAGGGGCGAACAATGGTGGTAGCTCCATTCTTCTGGGACCTCAGTCCCTTCTCTGGGATCCTGGGTTGTGTGCTCTGCCCTGGTCCACAATTGCCATCTCACTGGGTCTGCCAGCTGCCGCTGTGTACTCAGGGTCCACCCGCTGAGATCTTGCACACCCCAGATGCCTTATGCGCCCCCAGTTGCCTTAGCACCCAACTCTCTCTGCTCTCCTCGCCGCGACCCGTGCCGCGACCGGCACCTGGCTGCTCCTCTCCACCCCTCCTACCAGTCTGGATGAACGGGTCTACTTCAACTTCATGGCTGTCCGACTTCCATTCAGATAAATTCTCTATCAGTTTTGGGTGTTATTCTGCCTCTAAATTGTTGTTGTTCTAATCTTGGTTGTGTGTGCAGGTACGGTGCATCCACCTATGCCTCCATCTTGCCAGAAATCACCAAATTTACTTCTTTGAAGACATATGTACCAGTATATTTGGTTTTCTCTATCGCAGAATAACTTCTTCCATGGCACCAAAAACTAGGCAAACTGCTGGGCTTACGTACAAATACACACAATTGCTTTGCTCTCTGTATTAGGTTTTGCTGCTGTATGACTAAAAACAATTAAGTGGATGAAGAACAGAAAGGGAATTTGGAGGACAATTCTAACTTTAATCAAAGCTTAATTTTGAAGCTCAGACATTGTCATCAAGATCTGGCCTATGTCACTCTCCAAGTTGTACTTATGCTTTCTATACTGACTTTATCCTGCATGTTGACTTTAAGTGCATGAAGAAAGCATGACTCTCCTTCCATAAATTCCATAAAAAAGAGAACTTGTCTTCCCTGTTATGGCAAATAATTCTGAAGGTATGGCACTTGCCTACATTAGATCAAATGCCCATATTAAAGCATCCCCGTGTTGCTGTTGTAATATAGAAAGCAATGTTGGAGGCAAATATCCATATTTTACTGGAATTAATTTTATATTAATCTGAAGTAAACCATAATGAAATAGGATGCATATTTTAATTAGAAGAGTAACCACCACAAACACAGAAAATAGTAAAACTTCAAATTTTATACTAAAAATAGCCACTTAACTCAAAAGAAACTTGTCAATGAGAATGAGAACATTGAAAGCTGCAGGCGTCCTGGCTGGTATAGCTCAGTGGATTGAGGGCTGTGAACCAAAGTGTCGCAGGTTCGATTCCCAGTCAGGGTACATGCCTGGGTTGCAGGCCATGACCCCCAGAAACCTCACATTGATGTTTCTCTCTCTCTCTCTCTCTCTTGCCCCCTCCCTTCCCTCTCTAAAAATAAATAAATAAAATATTTAAGAAAAAGAAAGCTGCAGGCAACATATAGAAGGAAATAATACAATATAAATTAAACAGAGCTACATCAACAATTGCATTCAATGTTATTCTCTGAATCCACCAATTAAAAGGCCGAGACTTTTGGACTAGAGGAAAAGCAATTTCAATTATTGCTAGCTATAAGAGACATATTTTGGATTCAAAGATACGAATATGGGAAAAGTAAAAAGATAGAATTCTGGTCAAAATGGTAAAGTAGGTAAATGCTGTGATTGTCTTCTCCCATAACCACAGGAAAACTGCAATTAAATTATAGAATAACCGGATTCCGGCAAGATGGAGGAATAGGTGGACGCACCGTACCTCCTCGCACAACCAAGATTAGAACAACAATAATTTACAGATTGAATAACACTCAGAACTGATAGAAGATTTATCTGAATGGAAGTCGGACAGCCAAGAAGTTGAAGTAGACCCATACATCCAGACTGGTAAGAGACGATGAACCAGGCAGGCGTGGGGCTGGCGCAGGTCGGCGGCGCGCGGAGGTTCGGGGAAAATTTGGCGCTAAATCGGCGGGACAGCCGTCAGGGGCGCAAGAATGCAGCGGTGATCCCTGAGTACACAAGCTGTGGCTGGCGGACCCAGTGAGGCAGCGAATGTGGACCAGGGCAGAGCTCGCAGCCCAGGATCCCAGAGAAGGGTCTGAGCCCAGGAGAACGGAACTACCACCATTGTTCCCTCCCGTCCCCGCTCCCACCCCCGCCCCCGCCCCCACATATAATGTCACAATCTAGCGACTGGGGTGCCCAGCCCTGGTGAACACCTAAGGCTCCACCCCACACCATAACAAGAGCGACCAGACCGGAAATAAGACATGTTTCCAACAGAACAGATCAGTCCCCCAGGACTCATCCTTTTGAGCAACCAAGAAATAGTCAATCTATCACCAGTTCAAAACACTGGTGATCAGAAAGCTCACAGAATTGGTTGATTTTGGGCGCAATTTAGATGAAAGGATGCAGGTTACCATAAAAGAGATGGAGGAAGATACACGGAGGAGAGCCAATAGTGAAAGGAAGGAATCTGAGTCTCAAAACAATACAGTGGACCAGAAGGAAGATAGAATCAACCAAGCAGGAAAGAATGATGAAATAAGAATTCAAAAAATCGAGGAAAAGCTTAAGAGCATCCAGGACACCTTTAAACGTTCCAACATCTGAATTATAGCGGTACCAGAATGGGAAGGGAAAAAGCAACAAATTGAGTACGTATTTGAACAAATAATAAAGGAGAACTTCACCAATCTGGCAAAGGGAACAGTTTTTCATGAAATCCAAGAAGCTCAGAGAGCCTCAAAGAAGTTGGACCCAAGAAGAAACACACCAAGGCACATCATAATTACATTAGCCAAGGTAAAAACAAAGGAGAGAATCCTAGAAGCAGCAAGAGATAAGGGGACAGTCACCTACAAAGGAGTTCCCATCAGACTGTCAGCTGATTTCTCAAAAGAGACCTTACAGGCAAGAAGGAGCTGGAAAGAAATATTCCAAGTCATGAAAGACAAGGACCTATATCCCAGATTGCTCTATCCAGCAAAGCTCTCATTTAGAATGGAAGGGCAGATAAAGTGCTTCTCAGATAAGGTCAAGTTAAAGGAGTTCATCATCACCAAGCCCTTATTTTATGAAATGCTAAAGGGACTTATCTAAGAAAAGAAGATAAAGAAAAGACATGTACAGTAAAAGGACGGCAAACTCACAATTATTAACAACCACACCTAAAGCAAAACCAAAAGAAACTAAGCAAACAAGTAGAACAGGAACAGAACCACAGAAATGGAGGGCACATGGAGGGCTAGCAGCAGAGGGGTGGGAGGAGGAGAGAGGGGGAAAAAGGTATAGAGAATAAGTAGCATAGAATGTAGGTTGAAAACAGATAGGGGGAGGGTAAGAATAGTACGGGAAATGTAGAAGCTAAAGAACTCATAAGTATGACACATGGACATGAACTAAAGGGGGAGAATGTGAGTGGGAGAGGGGGTACAGGGTGGAGGGGAGAGAAGGGGGGAAATGGGACAACTGTAATAGCATAATCAATAAAATATATTTTAAAAAAATATAGAATAACCACCCTTAAGAACCACATGAAGATGAGATAAACAGAGCTCCTATAACTAACGTTATAAAGAAGAAGCCACCTCAAGACTGGTAGGAGGGTCTGAGATAAAACTAGCTGGTACCACACCCTCTGTAGAGGGTAAGAAATAGTAGGAATGTATTGACTGCATAGGTATCACCTGAGAAACAAGAAATCCCAGCCCCACATCTAGTTCCTCAGCTAGGAGTACAGTGCTAAGGAGTCCCCACAATATCTGGCTGTGAAAACCAGCATGGACTCAGTCCAGGTGAGATGGAGGGCTGCTACAAAATTTAGCATCTTCTTAAAAGACCCTAGCACAGAGTCACTCCCTCACAAACACTTGTCTTAAGCTCCAGAGAAGAGACATAAGTTTGCACAACCCTAGAGACATACAGGGAGAAACTAAATTGGATGGCTTCAGGTGGAGGGCTGGAAGGGCAACTCTCCCAGGGACTAAAGTGCTGTCAAGCTCCACTGTTCTCTTATGGAGCCCTGTCCACACACAGCCAGCAGTACAGGCCAGGGCCAAATCTGAGTCTCCATTAACCATGTTAACACCACTCTTGCTCCATTTTAGTGATTCTCTAAGAGACCCCACTGCACCCGATTCAAGCCTCTGACCGAATCTTTTTCAGAGGGTAAGCCACCCAAGCAACTGGTCAGCCAGCCCATATTCCAAACTTTCCTAAAAATCTCTCAAATGTCCACTGGCCCTAAATAGCAATCAAGGCTCAGCTACAAGGAAAGGGTGTATTCAGCTCACACAGAGGGTGCACCCTGAGTATCCAGCTTGGTGACAGGAGAGGCTATGCCACTGGACCCTATAGGACACCCACCACATGAGGCCATGCTACCAAGACTGAGAGTCATAGCAGCTCTACCTAATACACAGAAACAAACACAGGGAAGCTGCCAAAATGAGGAGATGAAGAAACATGGCTCAAATGAAAGAACAAATCAAAACTCTAGTAGAGGAGCTAAGTGAAATGGAGACAAGCAATCTATCAGATGCACTATTCAAAACATTGGTTATAAGGATGCTCAGGGAACTTAGTGAGGACTCAATAGCATGAAAAAGATCCAGTCAGGAACAATGAATACACTAATTTAAACAAAGAACAATTTATAGGGAAATAACCCTAGAGTGAGTGAAGCCAAGTATCAAATCAATGATTGAAAACATAAGGAAGCAAAAAACAACCAATCAGAACAACAGGAATAAAAAGGAATAAAAAAAATAAAGATAGTGTAATGAACATTCCAACATTTGCATCATAGAGGTGTGAGAAGGAAAACAGAAAGCAAGAAATTAGATATCTCTTTGAAAAACTAATGAAAATAAACCTCCTTAATTTGATGAAGAAAATAGACATGCAAGTGCAGGAAGCACAGAGAGTCCCAAATAAGATTGATGCAAAGATACCCACCCTAAGACATGTCATAATTAAAATGTCAAAGATTAAAGATGAAGAGAGAACTTTAAAAGCAGCAAGAAAAAAGCAGTTAATTGCCTACAGGAGAGTTCCCATAAGGCTTCAGCTGATTTCTCAAAAGAAACTTTCTTGGCTAGAAAGAACTGACAAGAAATATTCAAAGTCATGAGAAGCAGGGACTTACAGTCAACATTGCTCAACACAACAAAGCTATCATTTAGAATCGAAGGGCAGATAAAGAGATTCACAGACGAGAAAAAACTAAGAGTTCATCAGCACCAAACCACTATTATATGAAATGTTAAAGGGAACTTTTCAAGAAAAAGAAGATCAAAACTATGAAAAATAAAATGGCAATAAATGCCTATTTATCAACAAGTGAATCTAAAAAACAAACTAAGTAAACAAGAAAAACAGAGGCAGAATCATGGATACAGAGAGTGTTTTGACGGTTGCCAGATGGAAGGGGGTTATGGGGGAATTGGTGAAGAGGTGAGAGGGTTATGAAGTAAAAATAAGTAATTACAGAATAGCTATGGTGATGTAAATTACAGTACAGGAAATGGAGTAACCGGAGAAGTTATACACATGACCCATGGACATGAACAGTGACACGGGGATTGCCTGAAGGAGTAGGGGGTACTGGGTGGAAGAGGGTAAAGGGGGGTAAACTAGGACAACTGTAATAGCATAATCAAGGAAACATAATCTAAAACTAATAAAAGTAGAAACTTATAAAAACAAATAAAAAGGGAGGACATTACTGAGTACTAGTGGAGGAATGAAAGAGATTATAAGGGATTATAATTAACTTCATGTTTACAAAACTGACAACTTACATTGGACAAATTTCTGCAAAGATGTACATTATCAAAAATTTACTCAAGAAATGTTACAAAGCTTAAGAAAACCTACTAGAATAAAAAAAATGTAAACTTTTCCAAAAAGAAAGGCCTCGAATGAGTTGGTTTCACTGGTGAGTTTATTGAATAAATAAAGAATAAAGAATACAAATCTTTCACAATTGCTTATTCAGAAAACAAAGGAGAAAAATCTCAACTTATTCTATGAGGAAAAAACTAAACCAACACTCTTGGGATATAGGAAGGTGTCTGAAAAATGTTCTAGGCTAGATCACAGACATATGGGCCTATAGAATCATATAATTCGACACAAAGATTCTTCTCTCCACAGTCAGATTTTTGCATTGTAATTGATACATTAATAAAAACAAGATTTTCCTTATTATTCATGCATTCAATTATTCCTATAACCTCTGAAATAGATGCAGGAAAATGTTACTACAAGACTCTAAGAACCTCAGTGCCACCACCAGAAACAGTACAGCTACATAGCACAGCAGGAAACTTAAGTCTTCATTTTCCTCAAGCTCAAATATTAAGGCTTCTTCCCATCTTACCTGCAGCATCTTCCTCATTGACCCATTCAACCGATGCTCCAGCTCTGAGATGAGATCTCTCAACACCTGGCTTTGCTTGACCAGCTTACTCTCAGACTGTTCCAGGTCATGGAGAATATCTCCTTCATCCTTCTTCAACTTTTGTAGCTCCTTCTGCTCCTCAGTGTCCAGGATGCCTTTCAGTTTTTTAAAAAAATTCTGAACACTTTGGATTTCCTTTTGTATCTGATTCTTCAAGAATGAGAAAAACAGAGAGGGACTCAGGCAACTAAGCAGAGCCTGGGAGCCAGAAAAAGAAGTATTTGATTACGAAGTTCTCACAGGGAAGGGAAATGGAAGCAGGGGAGCAATTTTCGGGGAGGCTGATTTTTCCTCTTATTTCCTCTTCAACACATTCCAAAGTAATGGCCTCAAGTTTGCACTATTGAAGCCAACCTTGAAGCAAAATAAGACACCTGGGTGTGGCTCAGTTTTCCCACAGCTGCCCAGGATAGTCATGCCTCCCTGCATTACTCCTGACCCTCACCCCTACCCTCAACCTAACATACAGTACCAGGGCCAGAACCATGAACCATTGGAAATTGTCTTCCCCTGGAAAGTTAAAGGCTCAACATAAAGACAGCAATGAACACAGAATTTACTAGCCATCCTCAGCAGATAGTCTCTCTGAGAATCACTAACCTACAAATATTTGTTAATTTTGATAGGTTCTATTTCAGCCCCATCCCTATCAGGAAAAGGATAAAGAATGGTTAATCAATAACTCTAGACATTGATTGTTAGGAAAAAGGGAGAAGGGAGCCCCTTGGGGCTAATATACACAGTCCTGCCTGATTCTTGTCTAACTCCCTCAGGAAGAGTCTCCACCAACCTTCCAGGAAGTTCTCTCTTCTTTGATATCAGCTTCCAACTTCTCAGCTTCTTGGTGTTCAGCCTTCAGCCTGTGCAGAGCTGCCTGCAGCTTTTCCTGTGAAGGAGGATTTGCACCAGAGTGAAGCTATGGGCTTTCTCATTTTCAGAATAGAGAACAAATAGGGAAAAATCAGGCTGATCTTTAAAGAGATTAGAGTTTATCTAATCTAAACTGTGAAACAAAAATTAGAATCTGTGACTTGAGGGAGCCTGATGTGGCGAATGTTTTCTCTGAGACTCAGGTGATAGAAGTCCCCATTCCCATGTCAGCAGAAGACTGATTCTCTTTGTCCTAGAAGAAGAAACCTGATCCTATAGTATGGAAAGAACTTAGGTATGAATCACCCAGCTGCCCACTTATCCCTCCTGTCCAAAGGGGCAAAAACAGCTTTGGTTGGGCACCAAACCTCCACTTATTAGCACAAGTTATAAAAATACCTGCTTCTTTTCTGAGTCTGCTCATCATTTTGTAACTGTGTGGAATGCATAGAAATCCCCTTCCAGCCTTGGAAGTTGAGCATAGGAAGAAAAGTGATCACAGTACTCAGGGCTGAGTGGCAAAGCAGCTAGAATGAATGCAAAGTAGAAATTTCCCATCAGGTACTATTTTTTGCCCTGTCTTTACTCCATCCTGGTCTGTTACCTGGTACTCCTGGGCAACATCCTCCATGAGGAAAGTGTGGTGACCACGGTGCTCTTGAGACCTCTCACAAAGCCAGCAAATGAACTTCCCATCCTCCTTACAGAAGAGCAGGAGTTTCTCTCCATGGTGCACACAAAGATCTGTCTTTTGCTCCTCCTCTGGACTCAACTTGACCTTTTGAAGCATCTCCACTATGTTGGCCACATGCCGATTAGGCCGCAGGTTCCAAGGTTGGTAATAGATACGGCACACAGGGCAGTGGCCCTCTCCTTTTTCACTGACTATGGACTCCTTGTCATTTGCAGTGATGCAGGCTTGGCAGAAGGTGTGCCCACAGTCTAGGCTCAGGGGTTCTGTCAGGAGCTCCAGGCAGATAGGGCAGGTCACCTCCTCCTTTATGTTCACCAGGATTCCTGAAGCCATCGCAGCTGCTCCCCTGCTCCTGTCTGTCCTGATATGAGGCTCCTCTGGCTCACAGATTTCTGCCAGAATTGAAAGGTGAAAGGAGGCAGAGTAAGAAAGGTTAGAATAAATGATGCTAACTGTGTAGAAATCAAGGACAGGTCAAGAACACATATTGAAGGACAAAAAAGAAAAGGTAGAGAGACAAGTAAAGGAGCTAAGCAACCTTGTAAAAAGGACAATTCATAACAATTTTTAATACTCTTAGTTCATCTGACATGACTAATTTCATTTTTTTTCTGTGTGATGGTTGCTATCGTCCTTTACTTTTACAGAACAGATATGTGTGACCCCATATCTCTCCTGCTTCTTCTCTCTCATGTACAAACACACCCTAGAAGAAAAAAGCACCACACCTCTTATGTGTCTGGGCTTTTATGCTTGCTCTTCTCTCAGCATGCAATGTGGCCCCTAGTATAAGTAGGATTCACTCTCTTCCTTCTGTTAATCTCTCCTTACATGTTCATTTATCAGAAAGACCTCCTCTGATTGCTTATTTACAGTGTAACCACTGCCATCATTTGCTGAATGTTTGAAATGATTTCTCTTATCATGACAAAATATGTGACAATGTGTTTTGTACGTGGCAAGAACTAATCCTTTATCAGATGTGTACATAGAGACACTGAGTGACTTACAAAGATTATTATCTTCAACATGCACAGTTGTGATGAACCTTCAGAGGTCAGACCCTACCATACTGAATTAATCAAAGACATAACAGGTAACTTAGAAGGATCTGGCAAGTCTTGTGTGATAAATGATAAAATCTTGCGGTTGCCTAGAAAATATGCTGAGGACATTGATAGGAGCCCCAAAGTATGTATGTATGTGGATAGTGGGGGGGGATGGCATAAACATATTCATAGGATCACACAAGTCACTGGAGAAATGAGAACATAGATTAAATGAATATCTGGCCTGGGAAAGAAGTCTCAAATATTAGGAAAAGTCATTCAACTAATTCTTAACGACTATGAATTACACGCTAACAACTAAACTAATACCTACAAACAAAATGATGAGTCTAAGCAGAGAGTTTAAACCACTATGACCCTGACATTCACCTGGAAAGTAACAGTAAATTAAAGAATCAGCTGACAAGCTGATGTGAGAAACACTACTAGAGAGACATGCATGCTATTGGGAAATCAAACAATGGGGACAGATAGTTGTCCAGCAAGTCCAACCTGAAAATAAAAGGATTGAACTGAAAGCTGAAGAAGGGGAAGGAAATATGGCATACAAGTGAGGAAAAATAATTTAGGGGAAGAAATGACCGGTTCATGAAAGTTGTACCACCTTGTCTGTATTTGAAAATGGCAGTGTAGCAGGTGTGCAAAAAACTACTAGGCTTTTTGTATCACATAAGCCTGCAGTGACCATGATATATGGCACTTCCCCAATTATGTGACATTTAGGGTCTTTTCTTTTTTTTTTAAGATTTTATTTATTTATTTATTTTTAGAGAGGGAAGGGAGGGAGATAGAGAGAGAGAGAGAAACATCAATGTGTGGTTGCTGGGGGTCATGGCCTGCAACCCAGGCACGTACCCTGACTGGGAATTGAACCTGCGACACTTTGGTTCGCAGCCCGAGCTCAATCCACTGAGCCAAGCCAGCCAGGGCTTAGGGTCTTTTCTAAGAGTAAAAGGAATTACCCATGTTTTGTCCTCTGAGAAAGAGGGACATAATTACCTTTGCACTTGGGTGGTGGTGTGTTGGATGGATCCAGTGTGGAATAGGAAGATGAGTCAGATGCATGCACAGATGCTCAGGGGAGAAAAGATAGATTTTACAGCAGGTAATGAAAAAAATGTAGAGCAGGGAAGAGAGTGAGACATAGGATGAGATAAGAGGAAAAGATGGCAGTTAGATTAGGTACCTGAGAATAAAAAGCCAACATCAGGCTCTTTCTTCATGTACAGATAATATTGGCTTACTCTTCTAATAAGCTGGGTATTTGGTTTTGATTGTGTTTTCCGAGAATCTTATGAGGCTACAATAAAGGGGAAGTTCAGCTTCATTGCAAGGCCATATGATTGATAACAAAAATAGCCTGACATGGAAAGTGCATTTGGAGGACTTCCTATAGAACTCAACTGCCAGTTAAAAAGCTTAGACTTCATTTCATAAGGGGATTGTGACTTTTCTGACGGACACTGTCTCTTTTAGGCCTTTGGATGCTGTGCTTATGAGCTTCCACAAAGTAATTAGTACTTTGTAGCTCTGGGCTAACATAACCTAAGGTGGTTTCACACCTGTCCACTAAGTCTGGCTTCTTAAAAGTCTGAAATAACAGGAATAAAGGACCTTCTACAGCACTGTGAAGACCTTCACTGGGAGCTCACCTGAGGTAGTCATTGCTGACATGCTCTGTTTCCTGTCCTGTATCCCTACCTCAGCTAAGTGACCTGGAAGTTTATATCTTATAAGGTCACATAAAGGGGAATGATAATCCAAACTGAGAAGAAGTCAGTCAGAGAGGGAATCAGAGTGGCAGCACGAGTGGTAGCACAGTGATGCTCATTCTCCCACCTGGACTTAATATGGCCCTGTGGCCACAGTCTAGGCTCAGGAGTTCTCTCAGGAGCTCCAAGTAAATGGGACTGGGAAGAAATAAAAAAAGAAAGATAAGGTCTCAGTAGATATTCATGTCTTGATGGTTGCCAAACTTTGAAGGTAAAAGAAATATTTTCAATATGAGAGTAAGTTTTCTCTTAGCTCTGTGCTAGGAAGGGAAATATAAAGGCTTTATGAAGATGAATTTAGATCTACTAACACTGCCCACTGGTGCCACGTCCATCACACACAAAGGGAACCAACCTGACAAGAAACAAGGCCGAAGAAGAACCAGAAGTTATTACAGCAGATGTCCGGATACTGAAAACAGTTCAGAGGCCTTATGAAGTTAGCCCCTGGTTGCAGAGACAGTGGTCCAGATCAGGCTCTGATGAACTGCAATATCAGAAGTAGGCATTGCATCAGGGGTAAATATTAAATGAAGTCTACCCCTGTTTACAACTGAAGCATGATCCAAACATGGGGTAGGGACATCCAATTATTTGTCATCCCATTCAAGATCCAACCAATCCTCAGATACAAGAAGAGCTAATAGAGAAGGGAGGTGCAGATCAAGCATTCAGCCTTGGGGCTGCAGAATTTATTTTTATAATGTGGCTACAAGGATCTAAGGTCAAATCACCTGCTGCTACAGGACACAGAAGAGGAAAGTGCTTAGGAGCTTGAGTCCTCACAATGGAGGTTGACCCTCCATAGCCTGAGCAGTGATGCCAGGGCTCCAGGTCAAGCAAGGAGATAGGTGGATATGGAAATGTGAGTGGTATCCGCGCTGCACAGATATCACAAATGCCTAGACCATCCGTGAGAACCTATGGGTTTGTGCCCTACATCAGGCTCTCTAACCTGGGGACTCGTTGCAGAGTGCTGAGCCTACAGAACATTTGCCTTCAAAAATGAACAAGGCTTATGCCCAGGAGAACTCTAAGGGTCTCCTGCACAGTATCTAAAAGACTTACAGAACTTGATTCAGGAGAGGGGCAGAAGCAGAAGTTTGAGAAGTACATAGACCACAAAAGAGATCTATCTCCTGAAGGAGAAGCGGAAGCCAGACGGACTGTCACCCCAGGCAGAGATGTGTGGTGAGTGCGACATTGGTGATCCAGGCACTACCCAGCCACCGCAGGGCTGTATCTTCTTCTAACCTGTAGGTGCCGCTGGTTATACCTGCACTAGCTCTCCGCTACAGCCGCGCAAGGAGAGCTGACTGGGGAGTGCCCAAGCCCCACTCTTTTCTGCTCCCAGGGCCATACCCCTGCGCCACCACTGCAACTCAACAGGGGTGGCCTGCCACTGCGGTCCCCGTCGGAGCCTTTAGGCCCTGGTAGCCCTCACAGGACACCCTTTGAGAGCCTGGCTGGGTGCCTGGGGTGAGAGGGGGTGCGGTTTTGTGCCCAAGATCTGTAACAGAGGAACACGGTATTCTGGGCAGGCTGCCACCCTCCAGGCACTGCACACAGAGCAGAAGGAAACTCACCCCCAATCTTCCTGGGAACAAGGCCTATATGTTCTGGAATTCCAGCCTGAGGGGCAGTCGTGGACAGGATTCACTCTCCACACCAGGGGCCAAGAAGCTCCAGAATAGTGAGCGAAAATAAAAGTTAAATTCTTAGGGGAGGGGCAAGGGGAGGAGACAATCTGTGGACCAATAAAGGACATTCACATAGGGCCCTTAAAATAGCAAGCTTTTGTGCCTGGGTCAAAGGGGCCAGCAACTACATTTTAATCCTAGCTGAGCTCTGCTCCCTGAAGCTGTTCTCATGGCTCTCAGGGTAATTAATCTTTGGAGAATTAGGCTTCCCTAAGCTGTGTACTGTCCCACACATCAACCTCACCATGGCACCTTACAAAAGAGGTGCCCTGAGGAGGGAATTAAGTCTGTCTTTTACCACAGTGAGGACCCACTCTGCAGGCTCACCTGAGGCAGTGGTACTGACAGCTCTCTCCTGTCCTGTATCCACCAGCTGAAGGAAGTGAATCTGCCCATTTGTGTCCTGTTAGGTCATGTGAGAAGGAATGGATGCTCTGATCTGAAATTACCTCAGGTGGTCAGTCAGGAGGGCTCTCCCACACTGGTAGCATGGTGATGCTGACTTTCAGAACCTGGATTCAATAGGGACAAAATGACACTTTTCCCTAAGTGAACTTCAGAGATCAAAATGAAGTGACATTTATTGGGCAATGTCATCTAACACTGTTTAACAAATAATCTCTATAGTGCTAGCATAATAAAAAGCAAAAAGAGAAGTAATTGTGATGAATAATTTTATCAGTCAGTGTGACTGGCCACAGGGTTCCCAGATTAAACACTATTTCTGGGTCTGACTGTGCAGGTGTTGTTTCCAGATAAGATCAGGTTTTAGATCCATGGTCTCAGTAAAATGGATTGAGGGCTTGGGCAGAGGGCCTGTTGTATTTAGTACACAAGGACTTCACAGCAGCTGTTACATCTGGTTTGAACAGTGTAGAAGTTCAGAGGTGAGAGAGAAGGAAAAACCTTAGACAAAGTACTTGCCTCATGAGAAAACCCACACTTGATGCCCAGTGAACTTCTCATTTGGAATCCAGAATCTGCCATAAGAATCTGTTCTTATGACATTTTCTGAGAAGCAAAGTATATTAAAGCTATGTACAAGCTTCACACTCTATAAGGAGTAGGCTTCTGTTGGGGTCATGGATGCTGTTTTTTCTTTTCTTTTTTTCTAAAGATGTCCTAGTGTGAAGAATTTTTCCTTTGTGTTTGATTAACTCAGGTACTTTTCTGTAAGTTGTTTCACATTTGAACTGGAAGCCTGGACATTCTAGGGAACACAAACCCATGAATATCCTGGAGAGATGCTTGCTGTATAACTCTACAGTGTACAGGTGTTTCTTCATGAGTTATAGCTTCAGTCATTGTGGCAATAGGGTGACAGGAAAGCAGAGGTCAAAGGGACTATAAGGATGGGTTTCCCTCAGTGTCTATGAGAGAGGAGTGTGTGTGGGTTGAAAGTAGCTATCTTGGAATCCCTCTCCCATGACAGGTCTTCCACAAATGGAGAACCAAAGAATTTCTTGTGAAACAGGGACCAGAGCAGACACTGGCCAAGTAGCCCATTTTATGAATTTCTCTTGGCCAATAAGTAGGTTGAGAAGAGCAGGAAATGAAAATGCCAAAGACATGCTGACAACACCCTGTGCTGCAGGAACTATCATTCCTGTGCTTTTCTCACTCCTGAGGACAACTGCAGCCTTTCAGCTCCCTGGAAAGAGTGAGGCTGGCCAGGAAAGGGAGACATTGATCTACATAAGCCAATGCTGAGGGAGGCCATGTAGAACTCCTGACCCTGCCTCTATCACTGTAAGTCATACTGTGAACCAATAATGAGACATGGAAATATATCTGGGCAACACAGAAAAGGCTTTCATTAGAAAAAAGAATTACTATGGAATAGAAAATAGTGTCAAATCAACTTATATCTGGTATATTCACTTAGATTAAGGAAAAAAACTATTCCAGTAATTCAAATAAAAGAGTAGGTAGCTACAACAAAAGATAAAACTTTATTTTAAAATAAAAAAATAATCGCTAAATGCATAATACAGTATAGTTAACTATAGGCAGAATGTTATATAAAAGATTTGTAGAACTTACTCATTTTGCATAACTGAAACTTTAAATCTTTTGGACTGCAGCACCTTAAAAATTTAAGCAGTTAGGTCCCATAGTGTTTTTAGCACAATAAAAATAAAACAATATGATTGATAGATTGCTAACTTGCAAATTCGAAAAAAAGTTTATTATTTTTAATTAATTAATTAATTAATTAATTAGTTTACTTTTAGAGAGAGTGGAAGGGAGGGAGAAGGAGAGGGAGAGAAACATCAATGTGCAAGAGATGGATGAATCGGCTCCCTCTCACTCACCCTCAACTGGGGACCTGACCCACAACCCAGGCACGTGCCCTACCTGGGTATTTAATCACCAACCTCTAGGTTCACAGGCCAGTGCCCAATCCACTGAGCCACACCAGCCAGGGCCAAAAGGGATGTTTAAAAAATAGATTACAACCTAGAATTGTATACCAGAAAACTATTTATAAGATAACATATATTTGAACTTTTAAATAACAGAAATATTTGTTATGAGAAAAGAATAAAAATGATGTGGTTCCTTAATCGTTATTCTTTTTCAGAGCATAACAAAGTCATTAATATCCAAAGTAAATTAATATACATTTCTAACATTCACTATTTGAAGTCACAAAGAGATTTAGTCAACAATTTGGACCACTGCTTATGTGCTAAGAAATTAGAAAGTTAGTGCAAACATTCTATTTTTCAATTCTTACAATATTCTTATGTTATTCCTAGTATATTTATTTATGATGAGAAATTGAATCCAATTTAATTGAACTGAATATGGACCAGTAGGCAGCAGCATCAGTGTGATCATGAAATTCTATCAAATTTCAAAGTCAAGGCTCTTGACTGTCCAGTGTTCACACTCTACAACATGACACCTGCAAGAGCACCATCATCATTAAGTATGTGGCTTGGCTTTAACCACTACTGTGAGCAGCTCCCACTTCATTAATGGCTACTGGAGTGAGTACATCAATTAATATTTCCTGGCACCTAAGATTTTCCCATGATGCTCCAGGCTCCTGCTGTAAATAAGCATTTCCTGTTTTTTTTTCCTTTTACCCCCATCCTAGGGAATTTGGCTCATACCTATTCCTGGGGAGTGAACTCTGCAGGAATGGCATCTGTGTTGGGAATACACAGACCTGGTTCAAATCTTGGTTCCTCCACACATTAGCTATGGAACTTTTGCACATACCTCATAAGTTTACAAATTTCTTTACTTCCCTGATAGGAATTTTTATATTTTTGAAAGTTAACTTGGATAAAAAACTCTGTATGTAGTTATACATATATTTATGTTTATACATACCTATGTGTGTATGTGTGTAAGTATAAGTGTGCATGTACATATCTTCCCAAGCCACGTATTCTCTTTTTCCTTCCACTGTTACCCCTTTATATCTTCATTTGCGTTCTGTGCAGTACCCTGCCCTAATTTATAATGCATGCTTCTCTAAAAAAAAAATTTGTTTCTCCTGGGGAAGTCTATTCCTTATCATAACTTGAAACTGATTTTAAAAGTAAGGGGGGAAAAGTGCATGGGATGATATGTAGGGTGTTATACTCAGATGTTTCACCACAGGAGAGTTTGAACATCAAAAAGCTGTACCTGAAAGAATGTCATACTTTTGTGTTTTTTGATCCATTCCCAGTCTCGGTGTAAAAAGGTCTGCAACTGAAGACTGGGACTGGGCTGGTCTTGACAGTAGAACCTGGAACCTGACAAATGAGGCTGCAGCAGAAGCACTTACTGCTTCTTTGAAGGAAGGACACAGACCTGTTGCACAGGTCACTTACACAACTTATACTCTTCAGTGATCACAAGAGCAAATATTCACTATATCCTGCAGGACACATAAATAGAAGCTGTACATTGGGTGACAGTTTTAGACAATGAACTTAAGACTGTGGTGCAGTTTAAAATTTCAATTTGTATTTTATGGGAAGAAACAAAAACTTATTGATTGTTACACACCTTGTAAGAGAAGAAACAGGATTCAAACACTCTGAACATAAAATTTTCATTCTGGGTAAATATATTTGGTTTTCATTTTTTCTCAGCCCTCTGAACAGCCTGCTGCTGTATGCTGGGCAACACAAAGACACACACTCAGATACTCCTCAGTTGGTGAGGGTGGGTGGGGTGATTGTGTGTTGTCCTGAGATCATGGCTGGTGGCAGACAGGTGATTCATGCCTCTTCAAATCAGTGATAATGGAAAATAAGGAAAAATGGGAGTGCAGAGATGTTATACTAACATTGCTGTCTTTAAGAGGGATTAGATGTCTCTTACTGAGAATACAGAAAATGGTAAATGAGCAAATAAGCTTCCTGTCTAACTTACATCAGAAACAGTGCAAATCCCCCAAATGACTAAAAGTCCTGAAGAAGGGAGACGGCAAAGAAGAGATGGTGTGAATGGAGCAGTGAGCTCAGGGGCAGGAGGTGAGCCCCAGGACAAGTTGCTACACAGGAGTGGGTGAGGGAAGGAGAGGGCTCAGGAGCCTGGTGGGCACAGGGTCATGGGAACTGGACAGTTCCAAGGATTGAAATATGGATAAGCAGTCTGAGAAAAGTGACATTTAGAGAACTTGTAGATGAGTGACCCTTGATTTGTGACATTAAAAAATGAGACAGTGCCTGCTTCGTAGTCTAGGAAAACCCCAACTCGACAGGGAGGAACAGCCATGTAAAGAGTCAGGACCTTGGGATCTGGGGTGGGAGAGTCCTCAAAGGCAGTGTACTCAGATTTGTTCTGTAAGCCTATAACCCAGTAGCCATTTTCAGGTTTGTATCTGGAGTAAGCATTTTGATACTTTGTGCTCCGTCTAACACCAAACTTTATACTACTAGAACGTATTCTACAGTATATCCCCAAGATCCAGGCAGTCTTCTCGGACACATCAATTTCCCAGTAGTGTTTCCCTGATGAGAAATATTGAGAGCCTAAGACACCAT